TGAGTCTTGGGTGAGAAATACTACTGCGAGGAGACGAGCATGTCGACTTCTGTGCCAGGAATTGAATGGGCCCAACTGGGCAGGCACTTGGCTCTCTCAACTTTGGCGCTACTGGGGGCATGTCTGGCGGAACCCCTTGAACCTCCCGAACTGTCGAATTCTTCGACAGGTTGGGACAATTGCCCTGCATGCAGGTCTGATTAGACCTGGCTTGCTGGTGGATCTAATCCCTCGTAAATTACAAAAAACCTTTGTCCAGCTTCGAGGTCAGCATGATCCAGACTGTTGGGAGCTTGCCGCTGTCAACAGGGATGTTTGGAAGGAATTTGAATTCAGATGGATTCGGAAATGGATCTCGCCCATTAACACCCAATGTAATGCCACATACCTGATGCATATGCAGCTCTTAATTCTCCACAGGAGGCTTTGCATTCTCCGACCAGTGCGCGAGGACCTTTTTGAACAACCGTACAGTAAAGCCATGTTGCATGTTGAAGAAGCCAAGCGACTGGGGTCGAACCGTTCCCTGGTGGCGAGGCTTGAGAAAGACCAAGGCATTTCGGTCCTACTGTTCATGGGATCTTTGCAACCCAGCAAAATTACTCTTGTTCAACAGCCTCCCCAGCATGCGGATCTGTTAAGTAACATCGCTGAAGGACTCTTGGTGGTGTGGCACCTGACCAAGATGCTTTTTGACGATGATCCCTTAAACAAACCTATCATTTTTCTGCCGGCAGTAATGTTGCAACACCCCTTGTTTGTTGGTTCCATCAACACGCCCGTCGCCAGAAGTCTTATGTACCGCCTTGGACAGTTGGACATACTCGACTTTGTGCAGACCCTTCCATCAAAGCTGCCCCCAAGGTACGAGGCTCTCTTGCAATTCCCTTACAATCCCCACCCCGCCGACATGACCTTAATCAGGACCTTGGATGCTGCTTGGGCAAAATTTTTTCCAGCCTGTGCATGGACGTCACATTTCAGTCACACGTCCTGAAACTCACTTTGCATGAAGACCTCTTAACCCTAGGGGGGGGGGGGGCAGGACGGCCCATTTAATGGCCCGACCTGACAGCAAACCTGCTCTGCACCGCAGCAGTCATTGCAATCAAACTGCCTCAATTTCCCGACCCTCTGCAGCCCCTGCAAGCATGGAAGCTGGAGGACTTTCGGGAGCTCTCAACGCTTTGATCTCCTCGGAGGTCTCAAGTGGAGTCCTCATTGGACTTGCGGTGCTCCTCCTCTTTTTGGTCATGAGAAGTGAACTCTGGCCCGACTGGATTGCAAGCTCATGGGAATTCACCACCCAGTGCATGCGACTTCCTGCAGTTCTGGGAGACATTCGCGATCACTTGCAGGAGCTGCGTTTGACCCATGAAATGATGGGGGAAATCAAGAACATGATGGACACGCTCCAGAACCTCCTCAAGGACATTAATTCGGCTGCAGGAGGACTGAACGAAGAGATGGAAAAATTCGTGACGGGCAATGTCCGTGAACTCAAAGAATTTGAGGGCAAGATCAGCGATGTCCTCAAGCTAATTCAACCGCTGGATGGCTTGGTGAGGAACGGCAACGACCTTGGCACAAGGTGCTTGGGAGAAGTTGCCAAAGCTCAGGTTGCTTTGGATGAAGCACTCAAGATCATCAAGGCGGAGCTCCCCCAGGGTCTGCTTGCCAAGAAGTTTGACTATCTCAAAGACACCCTGAAGACCATCCAAGGGGATGTGAATGCATGGTACAAGCAAGAGAATTCACAACAAGGACAGTATTCTAATTCACAGCAAGGACAGTATTCTAATTCACAGCAAGGATACAACCAGTATTCTAATTCGCGTGCAAGTGACAGTCGTGGGAGCGATCAAGGTCATCAGGATCAGGGTCGCACTACGACTCAGGAGGAAACACGCTCCATATCTTTGGTGGACTCATTGCCGGGTCCACCGCCAGTTCCGGGCTCTCCCGGCGCCACGCCTGGTCAAGGAGGCGGGGCTGACCTCACCACTTTGGTGATGGCAGCTGCACAGGTCCTGCAAGCCCAACAAGCCCAACAGAGGCGCTGATCACCTACTCATCAGCATCCATGCAAGTAAAAACTTTCCAGTGCGAGTGTCTTGCAACATGTTCAGTTTCTTGGCAATCATTTGGTTCTTAGGGAGTGATTTGGCGACATCCTGTAGCTGCTTTTCTCGAAGCTGTTAGGTCGCTCACATGGGAACCCCTTCATGGCAGTACATATTGAATTTGGTGCTGGTTTTACTGATTTGCATGTTGATGTTTCGTGGGCTACTCTCCTGGCAACGCAAGTTCTGGGGATGCCTGTGCCGAATGCCGAAACTCCTCTTGGAAGTTCATGAGGAATTGGTGGCCTTCACACACATCGCTGAAAGCCTTGACGCAATCAATGAAGGGCTGAGACAAGTTCGGGAATTTGTAATTCATATGCACACCGATGCTAGAGAAGCCCTCCATGAACCACCACCTGCAGAGCTCTGCATGCCACGAGGGGGGGGCAGCTCATTGTATTCGACTCCTACAGGCATTGACGACCCTCACCCAGGACCTGGTTCGTTCAGTGGAGCAACTACATCAACTCCAAGGACGGGTGGAACATAAAGTCCATCAAGCCTCTCCGCTTTTGCGTGCCATGCATCACACCTTGGTCAATGAGTTTCCCCCAGGGAAATTCCGATGTGACCTTGATGTGACTGAGGAAGCAATGAATTCTTTGCGCGAGGACCTAAATTTTCATACTGAGGCCCTCAGACGGTGTGTGGACTCAGAATTGGGTCTGTTTGGATACAGAGCTTCTCCTGGTGACTTTTATAATTTAGTTTCCATCCTGCCGCCTGTGGCGCCTTGGGAAGAGGACCCGATGGAAGATCACCCGGATCTTCAAGTGTTAGCACTTGCAGCCACTCATGTGCTTCGAGGGATGTGAGTTCTTAAAAGGTCGTTCGATGCGCCGCGGTCTTTGCAATGCATGTTTTAAGATAGTTTTACCGTCTGTAGAAAGATCGATTTGTGCTGTTGACCTTTGGCACACTCCAGTCCAGTAGCGAACCATCGTCCACTCGGTAGTGTATTTGTTGCCATGGATGTCCATACGCTGCTCTACGCTTTCATAACCATATTGCTCCTGTGGAGTCTTCAACGAATGTGGGAATTCACTCTGCAAGTGACCGCTCAGGCTTGGTCCCTGGCTGCAAGATTGGCGAACTTACTTCAGACTTTGGAAGACACTCACCATCGCCTTCATTCTTCGGCTGGGGTGGTGGTTGAGGGCTCCTTGTTTTCGGAAACGCTGTCAGACAACATCCTGCGCTTGGTACGTATGAACGATCGCAAGCTGGGTGAAACCTTGGCACAACAACTTCGACAGCGCGAGGACCTGGAGAAGCTGATTCGACTTTTCGGGGATGAATTCAAGAATATTGTACAGGACCTGGGCCACCGCATAGCCACACTTGAGGTCTCCCTTGATAACTGTGTGGAACAGCTCGAAGCCCATGATGAGAACTTCAAGCGAATTCGTCGAGCATGTGAGGATCAAACTCTGCATGCAAAAGCCCTTGTAATTAATAATGAAACGAATTTTAAACAAGTGAAGATGTCCTTTTCCCATCTGAGATCTGTCCTGGAAACAGATGTTGTACCAACACTGAATAGCCTACAGGCTATCCTGAATACAACTAGATGAATGTGCATGACCCTCTGCAAGACTACCTAGAATCCGGCAGGAGTGACAAAGAAGCAACTGTGCTGGGAGACTCTTTTGCATGCAAGGCCCCAAACCCAACATCCCTTCCCCAGCGTTATGGCTCTAGCAACAACTCAGCAGAAACCTCGGCTTTGCTATCATGAATGCCTTTCCCTTTCCGCTGCAGGGCCCCTCGGTGCTGGAACCAATTCCTGTTGATGATGTTAGCGAACACCCCGAACCCAAGCCTCAACATCAACGACGACGAATCAACAAGCTAGATCGAACGCCTTTTGAAGCCATGCGCGCAACTATACTCGACCCACCATTTGCACTTTCTGACAGTCCTCTCCTTAGGCCCATTGAGTATCAAGCCCTCTTGATTCTTAGACAACCTGAACCACCCACACCACAAGATGTGTATCACCTGTTTGACATGATTCCGTTGACGTATCTTAGACGAAGTGCCAAGGATGGAACCCGGTATTTCGGTACAGGGGCGAACCCTCGCAACTCCCAATGTTTGTTTACCTTTTCTATTGACATGCCGTTTCTGACACTAGTCATTACGAAAATGATTGCTTATGTCTGTCCTGACTTCAGGTTCACCTGCTGCATCGTCTTTCGTGGGTGTAAAACCAGGCCTCATCGTGATACTAACAATGGGAGCAACCAGTCCTTAATCATGCAACTTTCCCCACCGATCCCAGGGGCAGGGCTTTGGATTCAGGACCCATGTGGGGATGTCACCATGACTCATCTAGGCACTCATGTTAAAGGCAGGGTTGTATCAATTGATCGACCCTACATCCTTAACGCCAGGAGACTCCTCCACGCAGGGGTCATGCCCTCTGCTGCTGATCCAGCCTCCAGAGTTGTTTTGGTTGCGTTCAACTCTATTCACCTAAGCACCCTACATCCCGAGGTCATCGACCAACTTCTTGACCTAGGTTTCCGAATTAACTCCAAAACCGACCTCAAGGAATCCTTGGAAACACCCTGCCGCCTGAAGCAGCTCACCCTTCAGGAATTTCTGCAGCTCCCACCATCTCGAAAGGAGGAGCACGACATCATCGAGGTGTTGGACAGCCAAGAGGATCAGTAACTTCTCCTCAACAACCCACACCTGAGCCTAGCTGTGTGAAAAACATTCTGGGTGATGGATGGGTGTTGTGATGATGCTGCTGCAACCTGCAAGCCTGTACACTGAGTTCAGCCTACTTCCCCCATTACATCCATCACAAAGGGCCCCTACGGGAAACCAGACATCAAACTCAGTTTCACTCCACCTTGCCGCGCCATGACTTTCGGACTGTACCGAAGAATTCCTGCATGGATTGATGATGGGATTGGAATTCAAGAGTTTGTGGAGATCATGGAGGATTCTGCATGCCCCCGTATCTTTGCAAATAATGTGGCCGGGTTTGTGAGGGAGCTACATCAACTCCCAGAGCTGGAGCCCTTCATACAAACCCCTCTGATCGCAGATTACTGGAGAAGGATTCTACAACGATGCGATGAATTACAACGACTGAATCTGCGAGCAACGAGGAAGCCGCCCCCGGAGTTCTACGCTGAACTCTTACAGGTCTACGAGCGAATTCGACTCCGCACGTGGTTCCTTTATGTGGACGCTCAACTGGCGCCTTCACTGCGATACCATCAGCTCCGCCATTGATGAGAATTCGGAATCACCCGTTCTGCATATAGCATGGAGGAATCTGGGTATGGGAGCCCGCCAACAAGTTTTGGGCCTACTGCACTTCCTATACCGCGCCCTCGGCAAGCTGCATGAGGAATGCTCAGCTCGCGCCTTCACTATGGTACCACCAGCTCCGCCAGTAATGCCTGCGGGGAATCCCGCCTCTGCGTGTTGTCCACTGCACGCTGAGCCAGAATTTGCGAATTTGGTGTGGTTTAGCGTCATATGACAGAGAGATGAAAATTCAGACGCGGTTATTCTGCATACAACATGAAGGAATTCGCCATATTCCATATTGCAAGATGCATGCTGACTCTGAGATTCAGGACTCTGCTACTACGACCTCTGCTTTATCTGGGTATGTGAGTTTTGCAACAAGCCTTTTGGGCACATCATATACTGCGTCCTCTGCAGGCTGCAAATGAGGAATTTGAGAAGTTGGAATTCGCTGCAATCAACATCTCTGCCCCGGAAGCAACTGCATGTTTTTGGCTTGTGGCATGGAAGCAGCGGGAAGCTTGGCATGTGCATGTTGATGGACAGTGTACTGTGTATTCGGGTATGCTGACTGCATGACCTACATGAGTCCGTGATGGAGCAGAATATGGCGGCAACTGAATTTGGAACAGATACCCTGCGAAGGAGGACGAACGTACACTGCATGGGAATTTGTTTTCTGCATGACAAGCAAGCATGATATTCGATACCTGCATGATATGACTGAGGGGAATCTCTGTTGGACTTGCACGCCATGTGTTCCTGATTGCTGTCGTGATGGTGTGACAACTGCAAGCTGCATGCACTGAGTGAAGCCTGAGACGAGACATTCAACTTTGTGGTCGATGTTCAACTATGCGGTAGATGGTTACGAGCCAGACTTGTTTCACTGGGCTCCTGGAGTACGGAACTAGGGGCTGGGGTTGTTTATGGTTTAGTGTTTGTGCTCTGGGAGTCTGCTGTCAGTTGGAACCTTTATTCCTATGCTTGTACACTTGGTGTTTGGCATTTCCTGGGTTGTGTCTGACAGCTGGCCTGTAAGTGAATCGGCTTACAGGGTTAATGTACCACGTCGAACCTACATCTGCAGACCTTGCCAGGCTTGTCCGAGTGTGAGTGTCAAAAAAAACCACAAACCCCCTAAACCCTAAACCACCGCAAACAAAGCGTGAAAGCACACTGAAATGCGCGGCCCGGGACCCTCAGAAACTCTGCCCGGATCGTTTGTCCTGAGTCCTCAACCCTCCTACACCCCCAGAAGTAGGTAACACAATGGCCCAACACCGATTAAAGGCCATAGTTCTACCTACTTTGGGATTCCAAGTGAGCCCTAAGCCCACAATGCCCGCCTCCGGATCCAAGCCTTCTTTGCGACTCGGATCCCGTAATCTGTTACCCCGACCATACACCCCAACCCTAAACCACATATGTAAACCCTAGTCTGTAGGAGTTGGGCCCGAAGCATGTATCGTCGACCCTGCAGGAGAAGAACGTTTTCATCCTGGAAGGTACCTAGGTTTCTGCATCTCTGTTCTGTATCGGCTGGAGTTTGGGGTGTACCGATGTGCTGCATGGCATGGGTCTCTTTACAAAGCCAGTGTGGCCTCGACCGCCTATAGCAGTATCACCCGCAATATCTGAAATAGAGCAGGGATCTTAGTAGCTGAGTGGATACACTGTACACTTTTTGGGACAAAAATGCCCACACTGAAGCAAAAAGGTGTACACTTTTCAGGGGCTTATGAATTCGTTAGCTAAGGGACAGTGTCATGGCATCAGCTGCAGGAATGGCAGAAGGAGGAGAAGGGTGTCTGGCTAAGATAGAGCAGATGTTTGGCAGAGCCAATATAGGCAAAAGCTCTGGTGTCAACAGCAGCAAACATGGTGACATTAGCAAGAAGCTCTAGTAGCAAAAGCCACAACCGAACTAGTAAGTGACAATTGATACCGACACCAGAACTGAAAGCAATTGTGCAACTCCTACAGCATTACAAACAATTTATCACTGGGAGTTGGTTCGAAGCCTAGGCTGCTCACGGGTATCATTGCGGTTTTAGTAAGGTAGGCACTTCGAGAACTAACATAAAGAAACAAATGTCACATCTATGCTGTTCATGAGTAACATGGTAAGCTGTTGGTAGGCAAGGTCTTCGGGATTGAACATAAGTTAAATTTTCTACCACGTCTAAACCAACGAAGACCCAAACTCTAATCTCTGAACTCCCCGAAGCTTTGTAGCAAAAGTCTACACTCCCTGAACCCCAAATCCTGAACCCTACACCCTAAACCCTAAACCGTTTAGAAGCGCCCTTAGAGGTACCAAGTCGGCCGGATTCTCCGGCTGTGGCTCGGCGGTGAATTGAGGCTTCATGAGGCTTTCAGCCTCGTTCGATCTAGCGTTGGGTATATACATACTATCTAGGGCTTATGGGTCTTCATTAGGTTTTTCAGCCGCATACGAGATGGCTTTGGGTATAAGTAGAGTATCTAGGACTTCTAAACTAGAGAGATTTAGAGTTTAGGATTACAGTAAGGGTTGGTGGGTTTGGTCTTCGGGATGGGGGATTTGGCATTCTGGGGTTTGGGGTTTGCGGCTCAGGGCTCGATCGCGGAGGCTTCGGGATGCAGGATTCTGACCATGTGAGTTGCATTTTAAAGCCCTAAACAGCTTTAAACCGTAGAATGTTGGCGCACGGTATCCGTTCGAGGGGAGGGACAAGACTTTTGAGCATCCAGAACTGTTGTCTGATGTACCTGGGCCATTACCTGGGGTTCAATTTTTTCTCGGGCGTTGGGAATCGGCGCATACTGTATGCTGCGGGCTTTAGACGTTAGGCGTGGCTTCGGTCATGTACCCATCCGTTGCCGTTGTCGAGAGAAGAGCAGCGCCGCAGAGTTACCCACCACCTTGAACTTGTGTGCCTGCGACTGGTCCGAGCTTGAGGTTGAGGGCTGCATGGTTTGCCGTGTACCTGTAGGGCTCAGAGAAGCCAGATGTTTAGATCACTAGGGCTTAGGGATTGAACGCAGGATGTTCCAGGCGGCGCCTGCCCCCCGTCATCTTGATTCCCATGCCAGTCGGAGATTGAGTTTCGATTCCGGGTCTGGGTAGTGATAGTAACTGTATCGTCGTAGTAGTCGTCCTAGTCATAGTGATAGTTAATGTAGGAACCTGATTAAGAGACCCTGGACCTAACCCCAAAATAGTAGGATTCATGTAAGGAACCCGAATAAAGGCCCAAGGTTTCTTTTTCAGGTTCCTACATTTTCGTAAGAGTTTCTAGTGCCAGTAGGATTTGGGAAGTTGGAGATTCCGGTTTTGAGGTTCCTTCCCTTCGGGTTTTAAGCTTTTGCCACTAAGTTACTAAGCCCTAACCCCTGGTATCCGGGACTCCGAGGCGGCTATGGTGGCAGTCCAGAGGCCAGGAACGACGAAACGGGCGTTTCGCCTCCAGGGGTTTGGTCTACTTTGGGCATCGGCTTGTCAGGGTTCCGAGATAGTGCCCCAAAAGTTCCCTTAAAGGGCAGCTTATTATAGAACCCTATACTACCGTTGAAAGGAACCCTTATAGTCTACAACGTGAATCTTCAGACTTCAGCTTTCATGAAGCCCCGCTTGAGGCCCCTTCAGCCCTACACCCGAAGCCCCAAGCCCCAACACCTTCTCCAACCTATCCCCTAAGCCCTAAAGTTTCATCCCGAATCCTCAAACCCCATAATCTCTAAACCCTAAACCCTTGACCACTAAACCCCGAACCCTAATCCCCTATAAACTCTATAAACCCTAAACCCTAAACCCTAACCCCTATAACAAACTCTAAAGGACAATCTCGCCTGGCAGCTGCAGGAGCGGCTAGCGATGGAAAGTGGGCCCTTCTCGCTGACAGCGGAAGTCAAGTGCCCTGGGTTGCCGAGAATCACAGCCCCCAGCCCCAAACCCCCAAGGTGTCACTGGTTTAGGGGTTTAGGGTGTTTTGGGGGAGTCGCAGAAGGCCAGTTGCAAAAGGGTTATTTTGGGTTTAGGGTCGAATGAGGGATTTTGGGTTTGGGTTTAGGGTTAAGGGGTTTGGGGGTTTAGGATGTAGGGTTTGGGGTTAATTCCGGTAAATTCCGGGTGTTCTGTTCGAGGGTCTCAGGGTAAAGGGCCCAGGGTACTCGTGTTTCGGATTTCGGTTGTTTGTAGTTTGTAGCAACCCGAGCAGCTCGTAATGCCAGTGTAGAGTACTGCTGCTCTGTTTGTTGGAGTAAGCACTCTGCAGGCTATCCGAAAAGCTTCCGATTTCGTTGAGGCTCACTGGAGACAAGTTACGAGTGTGTGACGTCCTGGGGCTTGAAGGGCTTACGGGGTCCAGGCGTCCTTTGTGTATTGGGTTGGTGGGTTTATTCCGGGGTGTAGAGCTGAGTGCTTTTTCAGGGGTACCTAAGCTTTGGAGTTGTAGGGCAACCCTCAACTGCAAAGCTATTATAACCCCTCCTAAACCCTGTACAACCCTGTACTGTATAGGCACACCCTAGAACACCAAAGCCCGAAGACATAGCGTTGAAACCATCGAACCCCAAGCCCTAAATCCCAAAGCGGTTCAGAAACCTATTTAGCAGCTGGAACCCCGAAACCCTAATCCGTGCTCCCTAAATCCTAAACCCAAATTTTCAAATAATAAGAGCAGAACCCAAACAATCTCAATCCCTAACGACTTCCAACCTACAGCAAGCCTTGGGGCTTATGTTTCAGGGTTTTGGTTTTGGGGGCTTAGGGCTCAAGGTTTAGGGTCTATGATTCTATAGGGCTTACCTAACCCTTCCAAATATCTCCAAATAAAAAAGAAAGCTGCATTCCCCGCAACAATCAAGACCCCAAAACTCCAAACCCCGAAGCGCCCTAAACATCAACACCCGACAGCCGCAACAGGCGTGCTTTCACACGTTGCCCCAAGAGCGAATAGAAACCCCGCGTCAAAAAAAGCACTACAGTACGGGGATGTATATTCATTAAGTCTCCAAAGCGTTTGGAAACCCCCCCTCAAACAAAGCACCCTAAACCCTAAACCTACGGGGATGTGTATTCATTAAGCCTCTGCTTTCTTCTGCTCTCAACCTCTAAGCCTGTTTCCTTTTCCCGAAGGAAACCCCAAAGCCGAAACCCTAGGCTGTACGATGGTGGGGGTGTAGTTTCACTAAGTTGAGGGCAAAATGCCAGCGCTTCTTGGAGAAAGGGCGCACATCAACTTCAAAAAAGATTGTACTATTTCTTAACCCTGAACCTCAGACCTTTAACCTTAGACTCTAACATCTTCAACCATAAACCTTAAGCCGAAGTCACGCTTCAGACCTCGCCTGGTAGTACCCTAAACCCTTAGCCCTAAACCCTAAACCCTGAACCGTAAACCTTAGTACATAAGCCCTGAACCTCAAACCTATAGCCTCAGACTCTAATCTCTAAACCTTTATCCGTAAACCTTAGTCCTTAAGATGCGGCTCTGCAGGTGTGTGCCCGGTGAGCAGATCCTCGTCTCAAGTGAGCAGTGTAGGGTTCAGGGATGTTTAGGCGGTTTAGGTGTAAAAAGCATTTACGATTGAGGGATGAGTGTTTGTCTCAAAAAGGGAAGGGATGTTGGGTCTGGATGTAGTGTTTATGATTTAGGATTATGGTTCCGGCTTGATGAGTTGGAAACCCTCAGCCTTCACACCGCATGTATCCCAGAGAAGTCCTTTAGATTGTTTGGGATCCCTTGTGGTGATTTGCGCAGATATGTTTTTACAAGGCTTTAGAGTTTTGTGTCTAGGCACATGGAAGTCCCGAGACACGAAATTTCTTGACCCGGACAGACTAAGCCCGAATTCCCTTGCCCTGAGACACCAAAGAATAATCACGTCGTTAGGGCCCCTGAACAGAACTGTAAAATGCCACCCAAAGCCCATTGGACATAATTTAGGCCCCTATGTTAAAGCTCCCATAGTTCGAAGCTCCGAACCCTAGACCCTACTTGAACCGCGGAGCCCAACTTCTTGATCCGGGATAAGGAAGCATATCAGGAAGACAGAATAGAAAATAACCCCGAAACAAAGGTAGGTTATGAGCTAAAGGTAAGCCTGAAGTGCTAGACACTGAGAACTGCAAGAGTTGAGCTTGAAGCTCAAAGTTTCAATTTCGAGCGGCTACTACGTAGTGTTACTAGTTTCTGTTCTATGCATGGAGTGTTCGTGGCCCTTTTAGTGTTTAGGGCTGCAGGGTTTCAGCAGTTCCGGGTGTTAAGGCTTCAGGGTTTAGGGCTCTGGACGTGTAGAGTTGGAAGATTAGGTCTTCACGGTTTAGGGATTTTGGGCATTTACGGCTTGGGGGTTCAGGGTGGCGGATGCTGGGCTCAGAGTTTAGGGTTGTGGGCTAAGTTAGCCGAGCCATCGACCCCTTCTGGGTTCGATGAAGGGTTTGGGATTTCGGGCCCTATAAGCCCTAAACCCCTAGTAGTACAGCAAGGAACCTTTAACCTTTTTTGGGTAGTATAGTCCCTATATAAGCCTTATATAACCCAAAAGGTTATATAACTAGAGTCGCAGCTTAGTAGCCTTGCGGGTGTATGGCAAGCTTAGGGTTTGGGGCTTACAATTTATTGTGTTCATATCGAGCCTCTTTAGGGCTGATAGGGTTCAGGGTCTACCCATAGGCCGCATAGTGGTTCCTTTTTGGGGTTCATATCTGGAACCCTATAAGGTAATCCCAAAAAGGAACGACTATATGGGCCCTATGGGTATATGTGGGTGGTTGGTCCCTTTTTGGGTACTTTAGATATTAGGTGCCGCATTATATAATAAGGATCGCAAAAGGGACCCTACTAATTTTGACAACCACTCATATGGGGGCTTCCGAAAATAGGGGACCCTAATATCGTACCCTAAATAGTGGGATCCCGATTAGAAGGACCCCCAAATAGGGACCCCTAATTTTCGGAAACTCCCAACCCTTGTAGAGCCCTATTAAAGGATCCCTTATAGTAACCTTTTAAAGGAACCCTTAGGTATCCCTATTTTTCGGAAACTTCCATTTTTCCTCAACCCCAAGTAACCTACCTTTTTTAAAGACTTATATAAAGAAATCATATTAGGGAGCCCTAGAAAGGTAGGCTGCTTAGGGTCCAGGTAAGGCATGAAATGACGCCGCCAACTTTCGCGTCTCCGTTGCGGGAGCTCTAGAACTTGAGGATCTGGTGACAACACAGTGCTATTTATTCAGCCTCTATGTAGGTAAGCCATAGGTATTTCGGGATGGGTAATTATATATATATATATATACACATGCATATATATATATATATATATGTATGTTTTATACACATGTAGATTATATGTACGGAAATCTGTATATAATAATTACCTAGTAGTAGAGAAGGCAACCTTTATCCGTTTTGGGGTAGTATAGTCCCTATATAGCCAAAAGGTTAACCTTTAGTTCCCCATGATGCCCGACAAGTAGGATTATATGCGTATACATTTCTATATATATATATATATACATATAGATAGAGATTTGAATCATTAGTAACAGTATTCCCTTATAGTCCTTCTTTGTTTTATTTCTTCCAGCCACAATCGAAGCGTGCACCTTCCTGGGCCCTCGGGACCCTGGATCTCAGCAACTAGGGTGCTAAGCTCCATAAACCCTGAACCTGAACCAACCATGCAAAGAAGAGACCACAAACAAAGAAGCGCAGATACGGAACAACGCCATTTGTACATACAGAAAAGCATAAGACCCTGGTCTGGGCCTGACCTTTCTTGTGCCAGAACTGGTTTGGAACACACCGTGTCTTGATCATGACTCAAGCTTGCTGCATTTCAGCATTTTCAGAACCTTTTTATATGAAGGTTGAGGATTGGCATTCACAACGGCTTCAGACATGAGCCTGTCAAACGGAACAGAATGTCGCTCTAGCTGTGAACCATAACACGACGATGCAGCAATATCGGATCGCTTATTGCGAACCCCGGCATGGGAGTTTCGGTTGCTTCCCATAAGTCTCGAAGGCCCAGGAGCTCGTCCTGTTGAACCTAGGGGCGAAACGTACTTCGGCGGGTGCAGTCGAGAGCCGCCCAAACGAACTGCGCGGCTGGCGCACTCTGCGTGGTAAGGATGGGGCTGCAATGCCTACGTATTCGACACTGGTTTAAGATTCAAGCAGATGCGCACTGTACCCCCGTCCAGACAAAACTGCAATCAATGGCCAGTGGCCAGAACTTAGCTTTTGGTGCGTTGTGACTCGGATCGGAGGGCTGGGATGGCGGCTCGCCACTATCCTTTCTTTTACATTCCACAGGAAGGTTGTGTCACCCGCATTCGGTCAGCATTGTCTTCACAGGTGGCTGCCGAGCCAGGAGGTATTTCTATCATTTTCCGAAGCGTCAACATATGACATATACCTATCCTACCGTGTCGAGCTAAGGTCTGCACAGTTACGTCCCAAGCAACTCACAACATAGCATGCAGAGAGTCTTGCGGTCGAGGGCATGCGTCATGCTTCAGAGGCATTTGCCTTGCGCCAAGAGTCAGCATGCCACACGCAGATGCAGTGATTCCGCTGCTGCTCAAGGGTCGGAGTGGGCATAAAAACCCTTTTGGGAAAGTTCATTTGAAAGAAACTAGATCTTTGAACTCCCGACCTTCAATTACACAGCAAGTATTGCAACAAGAGCTTCGGTTTTTATGCAGCGACCATATCGGCTTGTGTGAAGGATGCCACGCTTGTGAGATGCAGGGGCTTCTTGCGAACCCCGAGCCCTGAAGCTGCGAATGCACCAGAAGTTTCTGATGTGTTCGATTACATAGGTTCTTGGAGCACACCCAAGATTCTCGTCTTGAGGAAATGGTCAGAGCGTGATTTTCCTAGCAAGCATCCGGGAAGCATGGGTTCCATATGCGATGTCTTAAAATGAAAGATCTTAATGTAGGCGTTGACACATAGGCTCCTCAATATACGTAATTATTGACCCAAAACAGGACCCTTAAGTTGAAACCTCCCATACCGTGAACCTGATTCCCGCGATCACACTTCACTTTGGACTTAATGGTTGCGAGGAACTTCCATGCCCACCCTTGCGCTGCGCTTGTAAAAGTTTAACATAGGGGTTCGAATAATTCCTAGTAACACATTGTTCGCAATGGCTTTTGCCCAGAGTATGCTTCATTCTACTTAACAAAACTCCAAAGACGGTGCTTGCAAATCTTGGTACGCCCCTACGAACTTTGCAAGCAGTCGGTTGGATTAATTGAGGGTGTATCGGGGTTGTTTTGAATGGTTGTCGGAAAAATTTGAGGATCCTACGTTTTGGGTTTTATTTTGTTCAGCGGCTACACAGAGACTATAAAGTTTGAGTTCTCAACTTGTAGGGCGTGTCTAGTATACAGATGTAAACGGACCCAATGCCAATGGTCCTCGGTTTCGGCTTCTCGGGAATAAAAACGAAGGCTGCATCGTACAGAGGCTACAGAGACAGGGGCTTAGGTTGTTTTCGAACCTTGGGGGATAAGCCTTCCGAAGTCGTTGCTGCAACCCAAACCGCGAAAAAAAGAACCCCGAACTTCCCTTGACGGTTTCACGGTTACAACATACCGAAACTCCCCATCTTGTGAACCTAGTCTGTTTTTTGAATGGGTCGTTGCACCTTTAAGCTTCTGTAACACTTTGCACATCTTCTGGACCGAGGACGCCCGACCAGCAGGTCTTTCTGCTCCTGGACTCTTGCCCACAGGGAAAGGGCTTACGGCTAAGGGAGATCAAATTTTTCAGAGTTGATGTAGATGCAATCCTTCACATCTATATAGTCCCTCTGTAAGTATACTACAACATATCCCAAAACCGCATTCTCATCGTGAAGTCCCTTGTTTTACATGAAGCTTAACGTCTTGATCCTCACACAACCGTTATGAAGCCGTCACAACGCACGATAAAACCGTTAAGAGCCTGATTGCACCTGTTGCGGCCGGATCACAGGTCCTTACAGGTTTGTTTCAAATTGTTGACGATACTTCCGAGCCTATGGAGCCCATTATTACACAAGCCCAATCTGAGAACGTTATAGCCCTAGTATAGACTAAGAGGTCGGACTAACTAGCCGCGGTATCTCATAAGTAGCCCCTGTATCAATGGTCTTAGATCGTGTTCTATCGTGGGGTTTCAGGGTTCCCCCTCTTTGGGGGCTCCTTGTGTTGAGATGTGTTGAGGATCGTACGTAGCTGATTTCTTGTAGCTCCCCTACAGATCGTCCCAGGATTGCACCAGCGTCACAGACCTTTCTTCCGGCTGCGACTTCTGTGCAGTTCGCCTGAGCTTCGACACGCGTGCGCTTGGACTGGACTCTGCATCAACGTTCTGTACAGCTTCGATTTTGCAGGGATTTGAGTGATTTGAGCCTATGGACGTCCCACATTCTGTTCTGGAGGACTTTACAAGGATTTTAACATTGTGAATGCCTTGAACTCCTACAAGAGATACTTTTTCCACAAACCCTGAGTTTCACTTGAGCTTGAGAATTCCGCATTGCTCACTTATGGTATGTCTTGCACAAACTCTTGATTATTGAGGTTCTTGCAAGTTAGAGTTATTCTGAAGATCATCATGCTACTCCTGGGTTATGGGGGGGAAGCATGTAGCCAAAATATGGGCCTGGATATTTAGAATAGGGTTTGGGGGCCCATTATTTTCTACTTATAATAAAGAACCCCCCCAAAAATGGTACAGGTAGTTATTGAGGCTTTTTATTGTAGGCAAACCCAGGAGCTTTGACAGCATGTTAGGTACCAAGGAAAGGATGCTCAAGGCCCGAAACCCCAAAGCTCCACGCATCGTTTCTTTTCATCGGGGGCCCTCGGCAGGGTTCGTTAACTAATGTAGGATTTTGATTAAGAAACTTTTATTTGGGGGCCTTTATTAGGGTTCCTTATATGAACCCTACGATTTTGGTTATAGGCCCAGGGTTTCTTTATCAGGTTCCTACATTAGTTTGGAGAGGGAATTCACTAATTAGAAATACAAGATTTTTCGCCCGAGCAAATCTCCGGAACCGCTTTGTGGGATGTCCTATTATAAGGCCAAGGGCTTCGCGCTTCCCGTGTTTTTTCCTCATGTCGTGGATATATTTCCTTCGGAGGATGGCTGGTTTAGGGTCTCCGTTTGGGTGCCGCTTTCGGAGAGAGGGCCAATATCAATATATATATATATATATATACATATATATATATATATAGAGAGAGAGAGAGAGAGAGAGAGAGAGAGAGAGAGAGAGAGAGAGAGAGCGAGAGAGCGAGAGAGAGAGAGAGAGAGACAGAGAGATAGAGAGAGAGAGAGAGAGAGAGAGTTTGTCTATCCCAGGCTCAAAACAAGGCTTGTGTAAGGGTTTTGTAGTATGCTGCCTGAATTGTACCCAGTAAGGCTTCTATGGGGGGGTTGGGGTTTAGGGTTTAGGGGCTGGGGTTTAGGGGCTAGTGGAGACACTGGACTAACTACGCCCTATGGGTACAGTGGAGAATTTCTAAACCCTAAACCTTTTTTGCTGCTCAGGAGGTGCGCGTGGAGAGCCAGAAGCGCAATTCGACGACGCAAACGCTCCAAGACATGGGAGTTTCCGAAAGTTAGGGGGTTGTCTATGATCCCTATTTGGGTCCCTAACATAATACGGCACCTATTGTTTATTCCACCCCAAGAAGGGGGCCTTAATTTTTTGACAACTACCCATGCGCAGCCTGAGTAGGGTCTCCACCATATACCTACACAGTAATGTGCTCATGTGTTCACTTTTGTAATTGATATATACGTGTGTATGTACAGATAGGTGGGTACATGCATACATACGTACATACATGCATGCACACATGCATACCTACATATACAGGCTTCCAGGCAGACGTAAAGACATACCCACATGTACAGGATACAGTCATCCATCCATCCATCCACCTATCCATCCATTCATCCATCCATCCAGGCATCCTGGCATCCAGGCAGGCAGGCAGGCATGCAGGCGTACAGGTCTGCTTATGCATATGGGAACCCGGTATTGCGGTTTAACCCGATGAGTCCTTAAAGGCTTTATAAGGATGTGGGAAAGCCCAAAGCCCTAAACCATGAAACCTTGGGTATGCCCCCACCCTGTCACAGCTAGACAACTCTGTAACAGCAGGACAAATGTTCGTGATATTGTCGTAAAAGAGCCTTGAATATGACCCCTAGTATACACGGCTACAGAGGGCGGGGGGCGCTACCCAAAGGAAACCTTATTCATGAGAATAGCCATGAGCTTTGAATCACGATTTCTGGAGCTTCAAGTACGGCTGTTACCGACTTGATGTTTTAAAGCCTTTACATAGTACCTACTTTCGCTACGTTGTGGCCCACAGTCTGCAGATAGCACATAATTTGGCCAATCGCAAGTCTTGAGTCAGGGCAAGCATTGAAACTCAAGCTATTGATGGAATATTGACATGCATCTGAACATCGAATTTCTGACTTGTGACGTGCTTGTGCAAGTGTCTTGGATGTCTTGAAGACCTTGAAGGAGGATCATGTCGTCTCGTTGGGTTTTACATCCTCACACGACCCCCCCGAAAGTTCAAAATAGCTCACCACCCAATGTACTGCGATCTAGGAGCCGAATTAAATGCACTGAAATTACGGGTCTTTGGAGCTTTCAACTTTCAACTATGGGTTTAGGTCCCTCAACCCTAAAAACCCCTAAGCCCCAAAACCCTAAACCCCAAAAACCCTAAGCCCAACAAGGGCTTATCGTATAGAGACGGGACCGGACAGAGGCTCTTTGCACAGCCCGGCTGCGCGCTGCTGCGGCCACAAAGCTACGTCACCGTACTGGCCGGACCCAGAGACTCCAATATCCCTTAATTCAGGAATATTCCTAAAATTATGGTAGGATCCCTTACATGATTTAAGGTATATTCCTTTAACTAAGGGATATTGGAGTCTCTGGGGAGGGGGGGAGCTCCTGCTGAGGATGTACATAGGCGCCTGAAAGGTTTTTCCATGGGCTTTCGAAGATGTAGACACGAATAGTCCATGTTCTGTTTCAAAGCCATGAAATATTAACTGGAGTCTAGCATAAGAGTTTCCTGGCACGTGGACCCCGTAAGCTGTGGGGTTCTGTGCTTCGGGCGTAGGTTTGCCGTAGCCGCCTTAGCCCAGAAGACTTCAGCGTGCAGGGGGAAAAACCCGCTCCTTGAAGCTGGAACGCCAAAGTTCTCACAATGAGAACCTACTCATACATCGCAATTAAAACAAATCATACCGCCGCGGCTGGACCCTAAAAACCGGAGCGGAGGTAGAGACTCCTCAACCTTGTTGCGGCAACAAACCTCCAGGTGGAATTCCATGGCGAGACCATGAACCTGTCATTGAGCGGCGTTTCGGTGGCTCTCAACCTTCCTTTGAATAGGTCGGGTGAGGGGTGGAGCAGTTTTGGTTTCAGGTTCAGGGTCGAGCCGTTGCAGCATAAGTATGCCATGTTAGCGCTGGGTCAATTGTTCTTTGTCTTGCCGCATATTATGCCTTGCTCGCCTCACTCTGCAATTCGTCATCTGCCGCTGCATTCCATCGTCACCTCTCGCTGTCTGGGGCAGTCTTACTCGGGCCGGGGTGAGGCATTATAGGGCTTGGGCTTGTTAGATTTCGGCCCTGTGAGCTTCGTTGAGAAGCACAGCCTAAGATACTTTCAGCTTTGCCGCGTTGCTTCCGCTATAGCTGCGATTGTTGTCCCAACAGCTCTTTAAAGTGCACAATGCACAACCATTCCTGAACTCCGGATGAGGCAGTGTTCTAGCCCTAAGGGTCCACTTGTACAGTATGCAGTTTGGCCTCAAGGTACCAATGTAGGAACCCCTTTCGGTTAAAGTCATGGGCCGACAGACCCTGCGAAATGGTAGGTCATGACCCCTTAATGTTTACATGGGAGTTTCCGAAAATTACGGGTACCTCCTTTTAGGGTCCTTATAATGAGGATCCTACTATTTAGGGTGCTATATTAGGGTCCCCTATCTTCGGAAACTCCCACATATTGGATCCAGCCGTACACCCTCAAACCGCGAAGCCCTGCAACCCCAACCATGACCCTATGCACTGTAAACCCCCCAAGACCGTAGGCCCTAAAACCCTTGAAGTCTTTGTCCTTGTTGCTTCTTATCATAACTACTTCCTTTAGCGCCGTTTCACTTGTCAGACTCCGAACCATATGGGTGTTTCCGAAAATAGGGGACCCTAATATGGTACCCTAAATAGTAGGATCCTTATTATAAGGACCCCAAAATAGGGTACCCCTAATTTTCGGAAACTCCCATATGCGTCAACCCTTGAAGTCCTAATGCCCCGATCCCGAGACCTACGCAACCAACTATAAGAAGCAAGTTTGAAACCCTGAGCCTACGGCTATAGGTAGGGGAATATAACACGGGGCTGGCAGCCTACGGATGCACTCGGGTTCCGGAGTTCATGGTTTTGGTGCAGGTCCGTCGCAAGTGTAGGGTTTGAGGTTTCGAGTTTTAGGTTTTTGGGGGTTGGTAAGTAAGAGCTATAAAGCTTAGAGGGCTTGAGGTTTCGGATTTGAGATTTGGGGGGGGTTAGTATGAGCTATGAAGCTTACAGACCACTCGAGGTAAGTTCTTTTGTTTTGTTTTGTTGGAGCTTCGCGGTTGATTCGGCACTGAACGCGAATCTTATGCTCGAGGCCCAGAGCCCTAGCCTCTAATGACCCTAATGACTCTAATGACTGTACCGTCTAGGCGTAGGCAGGTATCCCAAAAACATGGTTCTTCTCATCCCTTTTAACCCTAATCTTCCAAACCTAAGCTATCCAGCAGCTATTAGCAAAACCACCATTTTTCCATCCTCTTTATGGCCCTAATCTTAAAACCTTCGGCAAGCCTTTGCAGGAGCCGCAGCGGCGAGACCGCCAACGTGGGCCTAGCGGTCTACGGGCCCGGAGGGAGGGCGGCTTTCAGTCTTATTGTGGATCCCCATCTTAGTGTTCAGGGTCTGGGGTTTGGGATTCAGGGTTCAGGGTGTAGGGTATGCTCTGGAGACTCAAACAACCCTTCAATCCTAGTAGCTGAGTAGGGAACCTTTAGCCTTTGGCGTTCATATAACTCTACCATATAATTTAGAAGGTTAACCTTCTAAGAGCTAGGGTACTCAGCCTCTAAGTCATAATCTTAAGGGAGATCCTAAACCCTAAATCCTGAACCATACGTATTTAAGGAAGACGTTGCGTCTGATGAAGGATCCCTTCATTGTGCATTGCATGGTTCATATGAGGGTGGGGACTCCCTGGGGCGAATCCACGATGAAAACTGAGCGTGCCCAAACTGTCAAACTCCTAAATCCGTACTTAGAAACACTTGCATCTGCCCCTCTCGCTCTCTCTCTCTCTCTCTCTCTCTCTCTCTCTCTCTCTCTCTCTCTCTCTCTCTCTCTATCTATATATATATATATGTACATACACACATACATCTCTCTCTCTCTCTCTTTTTTGTCTCTTGGTGTCTGTCTCTTTCTTTGCCTGGCTGGCTTGCTGTCTTTGTATATATCTATGGTTATACCTTCATGTATTTGTGCCTATGCCTAGGCCTACACTCACACTTGTATCTGCATCTGCCATTATTTCCTCCAATCTTCATACATCGTGTGTGTATATATACATATATATATATATGCATACACAGTATGTGTGTAGATATATGTACATATACATATATATATATATATATATATGTGTGTGTGTGTGTGCTCATTTGTATATACATACATATATATATATAGGTATATATGCATGTATGTATACACACATACTGACCCGATCTTTGAAGCCTTTGATAGAGTGCATAGTCTCACTAGGATGAGGTAGCCAGTCCAAGAATCGAGCGATCTGCAATGGCGACCTCATTCATTGGAATAGGATTTTGGTTCATGATCGTATGTTCGACAGGGATCGTTAGAATGCCTTTTATTACCTATTCAGACCTCTACCCTGCCGTGTGCTAGACAGGCTTTCATTTTTTTTTCACACCCTTCCGGAAACTATGTTTCTATCTGCTGGGTTCTTTGTCAGAAACTTGAACTACATATGGCCTTCATTGTGGTCTCTTGCTTAGTTAGCCAATCTCAGGGTTAGGATACTCTAGTCAACAGTAACCAACAAAAACAGCTACTTGCGATGGAAGCTATACTCGAGCTACCAGAAGAGCGATACATGGCAAATAAGTGATTGCTACTTATGGTCGTAAAAATGTGCTCTTTCAAGACTTTTAAACCCCTCATGAATCCTTTCGGCCCCTCTCACAAACACCTGCTTGATGCTAGGAAGTCGCGCTGCTATGTTCGCCGTTTTCGCCTCGCAGCACTGCCAAAGGATGCGGTGCCGGAGGCCCCTGCCAGGGTTCCTGATTCCTAGGTGTGTTTCGGGTTTGGGGTTTACAAGTCCGCTCTCCAATTCTCCTGAGTTCCACTAGACTTGGGGGAACATATTTTGGTCGTGAATGCCAACTGATCTGAAATACCATTAAAAGTAGTGTGGTCGTGCTCCTGTTTCTCGCTATCGTAGCACGTGGAGGAAAGTAGCCGTGTCCTGACGGTCTTCATGTGCTCTCCTCATGGCCTCCTGGTTTGCGTCTGGTGGTCCGAGAAAGGTCCTACTGATACTGCTGCTTGTCATGGAGTCGTCATCATGCATGGTCGTCGCGGTTAGATTCGCTGTTTGGGGAACTTTGCAGGCATAGCTTGATTGCTATTTCCTCGGCAGAGCTCTTGGGGAAGTCAGGCAGCAGAATTCGGAATATGCTGTTGTGTTTGATAGACTGGGACTCCGCAGGCAGCGGGTGATGCACCAAAGAACTTGAATCTCCCTGCAACTATAGGGCAGGAGGTCTTTGCATCAAACTCTCTCGCTCGGCTTGCGCCGCAAGTTTAGTGAGGCCTCGTTGCCCCACGGAGCCGCCACACAGGTGTGTCAGCCGATCCACGAAGCCTTGCTCGGAAAGCCTCGCAAGCCTCGTATACCTTTAATTATAAACAACTATAGTGGAGGAATCAGAAAAAGAAATTGGGTGCAGATGGCTCCTAACTTCAACCCAGAACTGTCTTCCTCCACAGGCCTCTTCCGTTTCCGCCGCTCCTGGCGCCGCCTCCGCGCCCTCAGCCCGTCGACCCTATGCTGCTGCGTCTGTGGCGGCCGCGCCCAATATCATGGGCGTAGGCCGCTGATTTTGGGGTTCCTACAAGGCTGCCTGAAGGCCCAGGTGCCTAAGGAGTAGACCAATAATAGTAAGGTTGTGAGCACCAAAACTCAAGTGTTGTCGGCTGCGGCGTCTTGAAGACCTCACATCCTAATATTCGGGCACTCGGTTTGAATTGGGAGAGGAAACACAAGTCAGTACATGGGATGCTTAAGAACAATGTGCAGCATATAGCAGATTGAGCACATATGCCAGGCACGGCTTTTCACACTGCCTCGGCAGAGCAATCGTGTTCAAAGCATGCTTGCCATCTGCCTTTAGGAAAGTCCGCAGCTCTTTTTATTTCAGCCCTAGCCAGTGAATCTCAGTGCCTAAAATCCTAGACCCTGGACCCTCAGCTTAGAATCCTCGGGTCCTGCCCTTGACCCTAGCCTCAAAACCCTAAACCCTCAACCCAAGCTTCAAGCACCCAGCTACAGATTCATGCAGGTGCTGCGGGCGCCACGGCATCTGAGGAGATGGACCTCGCGGTGCCAGGGTGTTGGTCTTCAGGGTTCAAGGGGTTTGAGGGTTTAGGGTTGCAGGGACTTTAGGCTTTCGGGCTTGTAGGCCATAGGGTGTAGGGTTTAGGCCTTGATGGCCTCAGGGTGTGAGGTTTGCGTGGTTTAGGGGATGCGCCGTGGTCTTCACGGTTTGGAACCGAACCGACGGAAACTGAACGGACGGCTTGTTCGTTCCTAGTCGTAGCGGGAGATCTTGATTGAATACCAATCTTGCAAAAAGAAAGCCATGCCCAGGCCAGGAACCTATATACCTGCAGTGTAGGATTTAGGGTCGTACCTGAACATGAGTTTAGTATGTAGTATGTAAGCCATGCTGGTTACTGAGGATGCAGCGTGTAAGAGTTGTAGCTAGGTGACGCGCGACGTACTATAACCCTACGTTTAAACCATTCACTAAACCCCCCGCTCCTTTGAGCTAACACTGGACTAAAGCTCCGAACAAACGATCGCAAGGTCTTGGTATCCTCTTACATGACTTCGGCAGGTGACCATCGAGCGGGACATAGTATGCCAAGATCTGAAGGCAGGTTGGGGATTTTGGGTTCAGTTGGGTTCAGAGTTCCAGCGGCCTAAGATTTTGAGTGTGTTGGGGCTCCGGTCCAGAGTTCATTGATTTCGGTGCTTAGGGTCACGTGGTTTAAGTTTGGGGTTGAGTTTTTCTGAAAAAATAGCATGGCCGCCCTTCCCCGTATCGAGGCTCCGATTGCTTTGGTTCAGGGTTTCGGGTTGCATTGGAGGGTTGGAGCTTAGGCTTTAGCGTTTAAGGTTTGGAGGGATGCTCAAAAGCTTTTTGATGGGCCTTAGTTCATAAGGCTCAGTCATTAGACTGGGGTTGACCAGGTTTATCAGGGCTTTATAGGTTTTGAGGATGAACTATGTGCGTAGAGTATAGGTGCTACTTTATGTTTAGAGCCCGTATAACAACCTCTAAGACCTCTCAGCGAAACCCTAGTAGGTTTTCCTTAACCTTACACCATACACCCTAAACCAGGGTGAGCGCCGAAACCGCCCACTGTCCCAGCATTGCTCGGTTATAGCGGCTTGTTGTTTGCAAGAACTAAACTGCCTCCTTTCCTGGGGTTGCCTAAGGCCTCTATTAAAAGGTTCCTTACATGAAGCCCACTACTTGGGGTTATAGGCCCAGATTTCTTAATCAGGTTCCTACACTATGCCTTCTTTCCTCTCTTTGGGTGATGCTGGGCTTTGCCCCCGCTTGTCCGACTGCGAACCCAGAGACCTCGCCTGGCTTTCCGAGTTGCGCGCAAGAGCGTAAGCCCTGAGCCCTAAACCCTAAACCCTAAGCCCTAAGCCCCAAGCCGAAGTCGGAGTCAGGTGCGGTTCGAGGACATCGGCGGCCTCGAGGTTGGGTCGGCGGAGATTGTATGCGAGCCCGAAAGAAATCGAAATCTTACGGGGTTGGGGGGTTGGGGTTTAGGGTTTAGGGTTTAGGGGGGGTATGTGGTTTTATAGGTTTATTGCGGTTTGTTTCAAGTCTGCGAACAATCAAAAAAGTGTTGCTGTTCATAGGTCATAGGGTTTTCTACGGCATGATGGGGTCTTATGAGGGTGTTCGGTTTCTGTTGGTTCAGAGGGGTCCTCAGGCTGCGGAGTCGGCGCAAGCTTTTTAGAGTGACCTATGCTTCAGAATTGGATCTAGCCAATCTAGCCGGTGTACAGAGACCGGCAATAAACACATGAAGGAGAGGCTTTCATTGAGGCTACGTTCTGAACAACTCCTAGCTACTCGCATGGTTCAGACGCTTTTTCAACATTTTACACTAATAGACAAGTCGTTTTAACCCTCCGCCCTTGCACCCTAAGCTTAAAATCCCCAGACCCCCCCCCGCAAACCTCAATGCCCTAAACACTAACCCCAAAGCCCTCTCTCGGCACAGGATGCAAAGAGGGCCATCAATGAGGCCGTCATCCTCCCGTTTCGGCCCCAGGAAGCTCCGGAGACCGTATGCTATGGGGTAGCCAAGGGTTCCTTTAAAAGGGTAACAACTATAAAGGTAACTATAAGGGCCCCTTTAAAGGGCTCTATATAAGGGTTTAGGGTTTCCGAAAGTGAGGGGGTACCTTATTTTTGGGGGTCCTTACAATAAGGATCCTACTATTTCGGGGACCAACTGAGGGGCGCTGAATCTCGGAAACCCCCGTCTAGAGTTCTCTATACGGGGGCCTTAAGTTCTGGGGTTTCGGGTGTTTCGGTTTCAGGATTTAGGGTAGAGAGGGACCTTCATTATTAGCTGCCTTGGGGTTAAGGGTTTAGAGGCAAGTTTCTGGGTACCAGGACCCTCCTTGTACCCTCAAAGAGGGGTATATGGTCCCAACTGATGGGCATTCAGGGTCGAATAGAGGGTAGATTGGAGGGTCGGGAGTCTAGGTAGGCGGTTGGGATTTTGCATTTTCCCTTTCTTGGCCCAGGGCGATCCTACTTACATGTATATTTGAGGCTTTAACGGGGCCAGGCTAGCCAGAATAGTCTTCCTTAGGCTCTTGATTATACATTAAATATAGGAGTTAAGTTACAGTACAAACTACCTGAAATGCCTGTTCAGACAGGTGGGGCCCCTTTAGTTTGTGTTATGCAGGCTTGTATGTGCCTGATCCGCTTCTGCGGTCGCATACGCGAACATGTTCACATGCACAAGGTATAACATGTGTTGGCACGGCTGTATTCTGCATGTCGCAACCTTGAGCGTCCAGCATCCGAATATGTGCAAAATGCAGCTTACCTTTGAAGCTTAGCCCCTGTAGTTTAGGGTGGCCCCAAGCGTAGGTTGCAAGTAAACTCGCGCGGAGCTGGCACCCAGGCTGCTGATGCCCGAGTTTTTCGTGGGCCTTCGAAAGCCATGGAAGGGCGTGCTGCAACTTGGTGCAGATCCCCTGAGCACTGGGCCATGTCAGCTGGGTTAGGAGTTGGGGCTTCCTTAACCCTGAAGAACCTACCTTTTAGGGTTCCTTAGTATGACTTCTTTATATAAGTCCTTACAAAATGTAAGTTCCTCGCGGTTTAGGCTAGGGCTAAAGCTCGAGGCGTTGATTTAAGATTACTGCATCCTTTTTGCTGCTGGTGGGTCTGTAAAGAAAGATCATAGCTAAGAGCCCCGCACCGAACGCATCCTTTAGTGCTCTGGCAGTTTGAGCTTCGTCTTCTCACTCCGGCATTATGCGCTGCCTGACCATAGACCAAAAACCCTATTTCGAACGAAGCTACGCATCAGCCAGGCTCAATGGCTCGTTTGAATGAGTTTGTATAGGGTTTGGGTGCAAAAAAGGGTCGAGGGGTTTAATTGCGAAGAAGCTTTTCTTCAAGAGGCACTGCAACCAGAGCCTTCGTGGTAAGCCCTGGGACCGATACGCTGGAACTCTAAACCCAAAACTTCGGATGCCGTGTGCCCGGAGCATCCTGTACCCTAACTCCAAAGCCGTAACGCCCACAACCCCAAACCCCTTTCAAATAGTCCGAAGTAAATCCCAACTTACAGAAGTCCTTGAGAACACACTACATACAACTTCTACGTGACCTAAGGCTCCAACAGAGACGGAAACCGCTAAGCCATTCGCTGCTTAAAAGTGCTCGGACAACTTTTGTTTGAGGCTCTTCGGCCCACCAGGCACTGGAAAGACGATGCTGGCGAAGGCGGTGGCGAGCTGTACGGAGCTGCCTGGCCGTTACGTCTCTTTTGTGTTGCATGTGGTTTTATGATTGGGTTTAGTACTCAGGGACCTTTAGAGACAGCAAAAAAGGCGGTAGAAAGTTGGTCGCATCGAGCCACTTTCGTTGTTTCCGTTTGGATCCTTAGCACGACTTTAAAGTACCTTCCTTAGTTCAGGGGTTTTGGAGACCTTGGGCCTATACCCCTAAACCCCTAAACCCTAAAGCCTGGCCATGAGCCTACCAAATAAAAGCCACACAGTTCTTGACGACTCCTAATTTTTCGGTCCGAGAGCCTATTATCGGCAAACTTGCTCGATCACAGCATCCGAACTCCAAGTCGAAATCTTGTCATTCCTCAACCTGAGCCCAAACTCGCTGTTGATTAAGACAGCTCCTAGGCCCCAATCCCGGAACCTTGAGCCCTAACCGCTTTGCGACAACCTCATACACCCGTTCAACCTAAACCCTATAAACCCTGAACCCTATATAAGACAAATCGCAGAGGAACATCACCTTCTTCAACTGCAGCTCGGCCACACTCACTTCCAAGTGGCGCGGGGAGTCGGAAAAGCTGCTCCGCGCGCTGTGCCTCGGCTCGGAGGACCGGACCGGCAGTTGCTTCGGGTTTGGGGGCGTTCAGGTTTTGGGAGATGTTAGGTTTAGGGCTTTTCGGGTTTGGGGCGTTTTATTTTTTTTTAGGGTTTATGGGCTTTAAGGGTTTAGGAGATCTTAGGTTTAGGGCTTTTTAGGGTTTGGGGCTTTTTAGGGTTTAGGGGCTTGTAGGGTTTAGGAGATCTTAGGTTTAGGGCTGTTTAGGGTTTGGGGCGTTTTATGGTTTAGGGGCTTGTAGGGTTTCGGGTTCATGGTGCATATCACACGAAAGGCCGCGATGCAAGGATCTGGCTAGCCCCAAGCCCAGTTGCAAAAAGGGCGCATGTCTCGTTGCGGTGGATCAAAGAGTGGGCGCAGGATGGGAGCGGCTCTGAGCGGTCAGGGTTGTTTCGATGGAGCATGAGCCGAGCTGATAGCCAAGCTGAGAGTATGAGAGAATTGAAACGCCAACCAACCCTGAAACTCAATCATCAAACTTGTACTCCCAAGGAAGGCTCCTTCGGAGATCCCTTCCCTAAACTTTATAAGCCCTACTCGCAAGCCCCATGGCCTAAACCGCGGGATCGCAGCGTGAGAAGCGCATTCCCTTTGCTATCTCACGCACCCAGGAGCCTGCGGCCCAAATTCTTTTTATCCTGGCTAATGTAGGAACCTGATTTAGGAATCCTAACAAAGGCCTAAGGCTTCTTAATCAGGTTCCTACATTATGGCAGACTCCAGAACCGTCCAAAAACAGCTAGAAACCCTAAGGTCTCGACCCTTTGGCATCACGGAACCACCAAGACTGCTAACCTGAGGTTTCAGACGGCTTCTTGTTGGCATGGATCGTCAGGCAGGCTTGGGAATGGTTGGACTTCGGCTGGACGTGTGACCAGGAGAATGCTTTTTGTGTTAGCAACGATGGCGATTCTGCCATTAGCAATGTAAGACACTTTTTGTCGTGGTGGTGGTGGTGTTTGTGATTAGGTCCACGGCGATGACCTTGTCAGCACAGGTGGTTCAAGTAAGTACCAGGGCCAGCAGGCCTTGTTTGCCAACTTGTTCCTGTACTGTTTGGCTGCCCTTCTGCAAGCTAAAGTCTTCTCCCCTGTGCTTAGTAAGGTATGGGGGGAATGGATTATGGAGACTATTACTGGGGATTATATAGGGGCTACTATCGGGATCCATTCCCCCATTCCCGACACCATTAGGTCCTAGTATATCTAGTTTATGGATATTATTCAACTGTTACTGAGTGGGGGCAGTATCCAACCTACACCCCAAATGACAACACCTCAGTGGACATTGACTCGATATTACCCCCAATTATTCGGACCCCTATACTGCCTGAGAAACCCAACCAGTTTGTTCGGACTTAACAAATAGATCCCCTCCAAAACAAAAAGCAGCACACAGATGGTTTATTCAGGCTTAACTGTCAGCTGCTTTGTCAGCTCATGCTTCACATCAGGGCCGACTCAAATGGATCCGCATCTGGACTTGTGGTAGATCTGTTCGAAGTCTAAGACAGCTGCATACACGTGTATTTCCGGCGGGGAAACATGATGATGAGCAAACCGAGTAGAAGGGATTGTGTGCAGTTGTGTGCATGTGAACATGAACATTAGATTGTACATGTGTTTGCATGAGTTTGCACTGTTTGACTGGATTACCAAACAGTGTTTGGCGTAGCAGTGGTCTAATCTCCACCAGCTGGCAAACACCCATATATTCCGAAGCAGGTTGAGCCTCCCACTGTTGATGATATAAGTCCTGCATTACCCATACCATAATTCCCATAGTTTAGATGCAGGATTTATAGCATCAACCGTATGGCCTATAAGCAAGCACATCCTTTGCTTGCGCAAAGCCCAGGCACGTGCAAGAGTTCCATCGATTCTGTTTTTCGACGAGATTGACTCGCTTTCCGTCCAAAGTCAGAGCGTATGGACGGAGTTCGTGTTTTGATGTGCAGGCAAGCTCGGGCTTTTGGGGACTCAGGATTCTTTGATTTCTCGCTGACTTGCGGATTCAGGTCGGATTCTGGGAATCAGGGGATGTCGTTGTACACTGCTGGACGGACCTACCGAACATCTTCCTGTCAAGGTTCTAGTCTGAGGACTCTATATAGTCAGCATAGTCCTATCATAGTTTCGGTTCTTGGACAGGGGGTTTCTGGGTAGGATCAAAGCCTGAACGCTAAACTCGAAACCTGCAAACTTGGATATGTTGCAAATGGGAGTTTCCGAGACTTTGCGGTACCTTATTCTGGTGTCCTTATAACGAGGATCGTGCTATTTAGGGTACTATATTAGGGTCCCTTATCTTTGGAAACTCCCAAATGTTGTCGTTCATAATGTCCCTGCTGCAACTATCCCTGTGACGTCAACCTCATTCTCCTCGCGCCCCCACGCCTCAACGATTTCCTCGGTCCGTAGCATCCGAAACTGTACACTTACACAGAGCTACACGCCACATCTCTTTGTAAGCCATAGCAGCCGTAAACTCCGAAACCCTTAACTCAGGCTTCTTTCACAGCGCGGCGGGTCGGCAGAGCACGAGGCCTGCTGTCTTCGAGCAAACGTTCCGATACTGATAGAAGCCCGAAGGATTCATCATGTTGTTGCTTGTGGCTCCTTCTTATAATTTTCCTTAGTCATATCAATATCTAGTATATACCCGTATGTATATATATATATGCGTATATACATATACATATATATATATATGCATATGTACTTTACTTATATATATACATACGCACACACCCCAAAGTCCTTCCTTTATTTAAGCGCGAAGGATCCCTCTTTGTAGCGAGCTATAGTCTAGAGTTTAGAGACTTGGGGGGGGGGCTGAGGTCGTCTTCATTCACTTCCGAGTACTTTCTGAGTGAAGCATTCTGTTTAAGGGTCCACGTGCCCGCCTTATGGGGTACCATAAGGGTTTTGTTTTGGGTTTAAGGGTCCATGTACCCAAACAGCATGTACCTATGTGGGAACTACTTTCAGGCCACAGTGTGTACTGGTTGGGTTCATGGACCCTTATAAGGACAGAGAACTCCAGCACCAGTCATGTGTAATCCAAGCTACAGCTTTCGAGAGTTGCCTGCGCCTTGCCCTATGCACCGCAGGCATCATTCAAATTTGAACCCTAAGCCCTGCAAGCCTCAAGCCCAAACCCTGAACCCTAAGCCCTGAACCCCTAACTCTGTTTGCAATGCAGGCATCACGCAGGTTTAAGTCGGAGTTTCTCATCCACATGGATGGGCTGCGAGAGGCTCAGTCTGCTCTTGAACTCCTTCTCTCCATGGCTTTCTGGGGCTTTCCTTAACCCTGAATAACCTACCTTTTTAGGGTTCCTCATTATGATTCCTTTTATATAAGTCCTTAAGGTAGGTTATTCCGGTTTAGGGTTTGGGTTACATGTTCAAAGGTTCGTGGAGGGGGGAGGGGGGGCGGGGTTGCTAACCTTGCAGGGTTTCGGCCCTTAGCCCTTCACTATGTGAGTCGTTGGCCTTTGAACGTGCCTATTGCATCAACTTCGAAGAAATTGCAGTTGAAAACGAGAGCTTGCGAAATGCATCCTCGATAATGAGTTGTTGTGAAGCCTACCGACCTCTTTCGCCTGGAGCTCCCAAACCCTAAACCCTAAACCAACCTCGCCTGGCTGTGTCCGAGTTGTGAGAGCGTAAACCAACCTCAACATAGCCCAAGCTCCCGCACCAAAAGCCCTAATCTGATCACTCAAAGTTGGATTGTTTTCGGGCTGAGGCTCAGTGAGACGGGCGATCAGCATGGGCGACTGCTCCGCATCAGGTGGTTCTTCAAATGACATTACAAAATTCTCACGTGAAAGTTATGGGGCATATAGTTATATATATATATATATATATATATATATCGAGAGAGAGAGCGTTAATATAGGATTTTTTTGGGTTTAGGGAATACAGAGCTCATAGGACCTTTTAGGGTTGAGGGGCCAGAGGAGTAAGGCAACCCCAACGTGGTAAAATCCAAAGCTCCATGGCCCTGGGCCTGGAGGCCACACATCCCTACGGTACGGCTTGTAACTAGTGTAGGAACCTGATAAAGAAACCCTGGACCTAGAACCCCAAAATATTAGGTTTCAACGCATAAAAACCCGGCCGACAGCTATCAACACCCAAGCAAGCCCGAATGAAACTTTGTAACAACGCGAGAAGGCCTCCATAAAGTCCTAACCGATTCATCAAAGCATCGAAGTCCTGATAGTTTGTTCTCACGATTGAGGCCGGAGTACCCCAGTTTGCTTTTGAAGTCGTGGATGGGTCTGACAGTCCGGAACTTCAGCTTTCGGGGTTGGTTTTGAAGCCTTCGGCTTAGGAGGTATGATTTAGGACTTAGGAGCTAGGATTTAGCATGGTTTAGGGTTTCACCGGACTTGTCTCGGCATTTAGGGTTTACAGCTTCGCACGCTAAGCCCATGATCTTGCCAGATATTCTTCAGCTAGCAGGCACCTCTTCGTCTTGGCCACCAGCAACGCGCCGTGGGATCTGGACGAGGCCTTTGGAAAAAGTTGGTCTTCTTGGGGCCTAGGGTTGAGGGTTTAGGGGTTTAGGGGTTGAGGGTTTAGGGTTTAGGGGTTTAGGGTTGAGGGTTTAGGGTTGAGGGTTTAGGGGTTTAGGGTTTAGGGTTTAGGGTTGAGGGTTTCCGTTCGTGATCACACTCGTGTATTCTTGCGCCCTAGACCCTGTAACCCCGGTTGCATTGACAAAAGGTAGCACCACACTTTCAACACGAACCCTAGGGCTCCAGTTACTTAAGCAGTAGGTTACTAACCATTTCAGGTATGGCCCGGTAACCTGCTATTTAGGGAACTGGAGCCCTAAGGTGAAACAGCAAGAGAAGGCTTATGGTTGCCTGGGTGGCCTTAGAGCCTTTGCCGCGAGGCGTTGCGCCGGCGGCTTGAGAAGAGGCTTCCGGCAAGTTTGGGTTTAGGGCTTATGAGGTTATAAGGGTTTACGGCCTGGCGGTTTAGGATTTAAATTAGGGTTTGGGGTAGGCTTAGCAAACGGCCTTAGCAGGGGACAGCAAGAAATAACATTCTGCTGCAGTGAATTTGCACGTTTGAGTCTCCAGCTATACATAGCCGTAAGCCGTCAAAGTCCACATACACGCGCAGTAGATTATACCATCAGGTCGCATTCTAGTCATGTACATATCTATATATATATATATATGTGTGAATACGGGTATGTACATCTATATCTCTCTCTCTCTCTCTCTCTCTCTCTTTATATATATATATATACATGTATATAATATGCATAAACATGCCATGCCACCAGTACGGGAGCCTGGGCTGAGGAACAAAGTATCTATGTCTCCTGAGCAAGTAGGTAAGGTTGCCTTGGCAGCGAAAGTCTTGCCATCCGAAGGCCCGGGCAACTCTCACCCGCAATATGGTCAATGTAGACCTCTGGGCCTCAATAGTCGGATCCCTTCATACTCCTTGTTTAATCAGGGCGAGTTATTCATTGGTCTGCAATAGTTGTCGAAAGATAGAGTCTCTACCTGGCCCCCCCCATAGATCAGGCTTGCACTAGGGGACCGCCGCCCTGCTCTGCCCATGTCCTCCACTGCCTCAGCCAAGTCATCATCGGTTGGGCTTTAGGGCGAAAGGGTTATCGGATTTCAGACGTGCCATCTGCAAAAGCCTGATTGGATAAACGCCTGCGGCGATCTTCTGCATAAGTTTCTTTTGCCTACGCCGATGTTTTTTTGTTACAGCTCCGTTGCATGAAGCCCATCACGTCGTAGCACTGCCAGTGCATAGCCCACTAGACCCCGAAACTCCCCAAGTTCCATGGTCCTCAGTACTTTTGAACCCGACCTTTCCCGGCAAATACAGAAAGCCATGCAAGGCCCCGCTGTGATTTATAGTAGAGCCCCTGTAGAGCTTAGTAGCTATATACAGCGCTTCTGGAACCCTTAATAGCGCACTGAAGCAGCTGGCGCAGATAGGATCTACATTCCGCTACCGGAAGAAGCCGCTCGATCGCGGATGCTGGAGCACTTCCTCAAGGAACACTGAGATGCAGTTGAGGCCTTGAGGCCTTGAGGTTGAGGGCATTGGATTGGGAGTCTGAAAGCATGACTCCCTTGTGATTCCTGGCATAAATCACAGCATGAAGGCAAGTTTCCGACATCCCTCTAATCCTTTCTCGGGTTATGGGTGCCAATGATATTCACGTCGTCACGGACGCCTCGAACACGTAGGGCAAGGCAAAGTTGTTGCGCCCGTGTGATTCTCAGTTTCGCCTCGCCGCCGAGTTGTTGAAGTTGTTGTGACGCAAGTCCTTGTCTCCGGCCCTACACCCTTGTTCTGCACCCCCACCCAAACAACAGACTAGAACCTGCAACCTTAAACCATAATCCAGCACATGTTATTCCTCAAGCCATAGACCTTCTGACCCCAAACCTAAAAGCCCTAACCCTTAAACCCCAAGACCCTAAACCCCCAAAGCCCTAAACCCCAAAATCCTAACCCCCTAAACCCTATTAAACTCCAAAATTTTAAAAGCCCTATACCCTAAAACCCCCAAGACACCTAAACCCTAAAACGCATCACGGCTCCCATGGCTGCAGGACATCGTTCTCGCCGAGGCTCGGCCGGTCCTGGCGTGGGTCCGCCGAGCCGCCCACTGACACCTGAACCCTATGAGAATATAATATGGGACTGTATAATGTATAATAACCCCGTGCTGTTAAGTTTAGTCTTCACATGTCCGTGTTCGGTTTTGCAACATTCAGGGATAAGGATTTTTATACGGGGTTATTATACAACCCCCAAAAGTACTGTAGCTTTAAGGGCAAGCCTAGGGGTTTGAAAATCCTTTAAACTGGAAACCTAAGGGTCCATATACCCCCGGTAGTAAGTACTTTGGCTTAAAGTAGTCAAAGTAGCCCCTATAATATAGATACTTCGGGGCCAAGCTACATTATTTAGGTGTGCGTGGCATCCCGGGGAAAAGTCCGACGAACTTGAGATGGGAAAGCACGTTGTGTAGGAATCTCACGGCCCAAACCCTAAACTTAGCGCTGAACATAAGCTACCACAGCTGACTATTGATATTGTTGCTGAGACAGTAGCAACACATCTGTAGCGGACCAAGCTGGTCACAGTCTAAATCAGTCAACTTTTGGCTGCTGCTCCTTTGTTCTTCCAGTTTTTGAAACACAAATAAGACATTCAAGGCAGAAATCTGCAAGCCGATGTAGCATTGAAGGTTTATGGTTCGGGGCTAGCGGCTACAGGTTCCAGTCAATGTCGACTTCTATGCGATCCTGCTTTGGGGCTTCAGTCGCTTAAGCAACGGGTTAGTGGTTTAGCCATGCTATGGTTAGCAACCTATGTTTTCAAAAACTGGAGCTCTAGGGATACTATAGGCGATCGACAGAGGCCGCGTCTGCTGCATGCTTGGGGCTTAGGGTTTCTATTGCATGCGCTTACCGTGATGCCAAATCCAAAGCTTGAGCCGAGGCAAGATAAATACCGTGCAAGCCCGAAGCCTAGGGCCTAAACCCTAAGCCCCCTAAACCCTAAGCCCCTAAACCCTGAGCCCTAAAACAAAAGCCGGAGGATGTAGATTTGGCCCTCGTCGCGTCTCAGCTGGAGCGCTACAGCGGAGCCGATGCTGCTCGCCAAAAGACCTTGGGTGTACTGAGATTTCGGGCGTTAAGGCCTAAATTTCCGGCTTTTGCCGCCGGCAAGCCTAGTTGCGAAGGGCCGTAGGTTTGGAAGGCAGTTTGGGTGGAGGGAGGTTTGGCATATTGGGATCTAGATCGGGTCAGAGCAAGTCACCAGGACAAGATGTCAAGGCCGTATAGGTCCTGAGTAAATACCTGCAGCTCTACCCCAATCCGCAGCTCAGACGCTGCAAAAATTCTGGGGTTCTTTGTCTTCTGTTCTTCTCGACCACTGAATCGAGCTTCTTCTCTCTGTCTCCTCGTTCTAGGGTTTCACGACTCGAACTCAGGACTGTATGTGTTTTAGGGGATGTAGAGCTTCGCAGTTTGCGGTCGTAGCAACAGCACGCCGGAATTAGCCTTGAGTTGACGGCCCCCAACTCGACCCGAAGCCGGAACTGCCACTTGCCTGCGCAAGCATATCAAACCAAAGCCCAGTGACGCCGTGCAGCATCCGAAAGCCAATGCCCAAAACCCCTGCAAACCTCAGTGCGTCCTATGCAGACAGCATCGAGCTCCCTGCATCTACGTCCTACATAAGCCGTCTCTACGCACGGAAATCTCCACGGCGTAAAACTCCTGAGCCCGGATCCCATCGACTGAGCTTGCCAGTGGGCCCAGGTTCAACTCGTGTGCCGTGAGGCGTCGATGAGTCCCATGCGACGCCCCCTTGCCTGGGTTTAAGGATTACATAGAGCGTAGGGGTCAAGAGTTAGGGGTTAAGTTGCTCTCAGCCTCAACATAGCCCGAAAGCCTCAGAAGGCACGGTCTTCGGGCCCGCAAGCCTTGATAGGCTGCTCAAGTCGAAGAGCAGGGTTTAGTAGATGCGTCACGGAGAATAGAGATCTCAAGTACGCCCCAATGCTTCCAGAGCCACCGACCATGCCATGTTGTGAGTTGAGCCTTCTATGCTTTAATGTTCTTAAATCTTGAACTCAATTGCTGACCCCAAAACCGTCTCAAAGGTTCAGGCTTGCGCATCTCCTCCAAGACCCAATATACCCTAGCTTTTTATCTATCCTCTACACGGTGGGGTTTACGAAATCTTCGGTGTGAGGATGGAAGAGTTTTAGATAGGTTCTTTGGTCTTTAAATTGAAAATAAAGGTCTGAAAAGGGGTGAAGGACGCTTTTGTTGCTGTTTACATATAGTCTATCATATAGTAAGACCAATGAAAACAAAGAAGATGAATTGACCATGATGTGCAGTCGCTCACACAGAGTGCGGAGCTGCATCGGCTCGTAATTCTTAAACAAGATTCAGCATAGGATACATGACTCATGGCTCATGTTTGGCTCTTGACCCTGAAATGTTACCGCCTTTGGATGCCGCAAGCTTTAAAGTCCAAATCCCCAGCTGGCCGTTAAAGTCAAGGAGAACGGAGTGGCAAACAGATTCGTCGGAAAAGGGCCGAGAATCGCTAAACACTTTATACATTCCCAAAGGATCCGAGCAACAGTCTAGTAAGTATACATAATCTTTACCTTTTGGTTCCAAGTATCTACTAAGTAGCCGCTATATTGGTACTTTGGAAGTTTGTGGGATTGTAAGCATCGAGGCGCAACCTTGGCTTTCTTCCTCCTGGTTGGGACCAATTCAACTTCTGGGTTTCTATACTTTTGAGTCGGGTGCAGAAGGCCAAGGGAGCATCTATGAAGTCGTCGCAAATTCGAGGAGAGACCTGCAACAAATACTATGAGGGTTTAGGGTTTACTCCTTTCAAAACCATCTGACACTCTGGAAGACGATTGAGACAAGGCTGCACGCAACCTCCGGATTCTCTAAATCGCAGCGACAAACCGGAAGCCCTGAGTTCTAAGCCCTGTCTTGCTACCCAGAGGCCCCATAGTAGTTCCTTTTTTGGGGATCACCCTATAGGATTCTATATATGGACCCCAAAAAAGGAACTACTTTGGGGCCTTTGGGTAAACCCTAAACAACCCTAAAGCCCTAAACGCTTAAACCCAAACTCTCAGACCCTTCTAGGCTAAGCCCTCAATGCCAATACCATTTTTTCCCGCACGAACCCTCCGAAGCAATCCGACTTGGGCTTAATTCCTAATTTAGGAGCCAGTTGAACTCCTACCTTATACCATGTAGGCACTGATGAGGGACCCACAGTCCTAAACCCTAAACCCACGGGTCCTTCTGCAGCAGACGGACTTGCGATGTAGGAAGGGGCCCTAAAAATTTTAAACCCAGAAGAGCAAAAACGAATGAGCCCCTAATTCGATAGCCTGGCACGGAGTAACCATAGCCCCAAACCCCAAAATTAAGACCCTAAATCCCGAAACTCCAAGCCTCTAAACCCGCAAAACCCTTTAATCCCAAACCAATACACCCCAAACCATGAACCGCCACACCCCAGGCCCTAAACCCCTGAACCAACACCCCTTTGTCATAGTTGGGTAACATTTTAGAATTTTCTGGGTACTTGAACCCAAAGAGGAGTAAGAATGTACATTTTTTAATCCTATCCCAACAATGAACTAGACCCCGACTTCACGGCCCAAGGCCTGGTGGATGGGCTAACGCCGGCAGAGCTGGTCCAGCTGCGCAGCGAAGGATCTCCCTCCCAGGGTTTCATGTCAACAGTGGTACCAGAAGGGGTCTATATGGATTTAATATATAGTATTCTGCAGTATGATAAAATGTTTGTAGGGCTTACTGCGTGCAAGCACGAGCATGGCATAATATGTAATAGTCTATTCTAGTACAATTGTATAGGTGCTGGTGGGGCTTAGTGTGGTCTTCTCGTATCGGGTACTGTAGAGGGATAGTACGAGTCTTTATTCGGACACCTATTGTCCGGACACTGGTAACAACGTGGCATACTGCGCAGGGTAAACGCTGATGTTCTGAGAGAATCCAAATTTCCGTCATGTTGACAGCATGTGTTGATAATAACTAGTATATAATATGCCCCAAAACTCTGTTCCAATTATTAAAGCCCCTACATTATAGGACCCTACCATAGATCCCTTATTATAGACCTCTTTGGCTTCGTCAGAGCTTGGAGGCATTTCAGTTCAGGGTTCGGTTTCAGAGCATGTAGAAACATCAGGGCTACAGGACTGGAGTGCTTGATGGCATTCTCTACCTAGCAGAATAGGTAACGTTTAACCCTTTTTGGGTAGTATAGTCCCTATATAATCCCCGTGTATAGCCAAAAGTGGGTCTAGGTCACACCAAGGAGTAGCAAAGACGTTTGGAATCGCTGCTCGTCTTCGTGTTCGTCGCTTGCTGACTACACGTCTAGTGTCTGTCAGTAACTTTCACTGCGATGGCACGTGCTTTTAATGTTATGGTTAACTTTCACTTGCCTTCACTACCAAGTGTAGCCAGGAGCTCTGCATGCGCTGTATTCAGTCGTCGTCTGTACCCAGTTTTCAATCCCAAAGTGTCCATGTAGCTGTGCTGTATGCACCTGGCCATCACGATACCTATACAAGAGCCTCTTTCCGGCCAATGTAATCTAAAACATGCAAAAGCTATGTCGTTACATGGACCTCCCGGGAATGCTTACAGCCCCGTGCGAAAGGAAAGCTGGACACGAGCAGCCTCTCTGTAGCTGCACGGATGCAACATACTTACTTTTGCAGGCTCGGGCATGAAGCTTCGGGATTTCCGAGTTTAGCTCTGAACCCTCAACCCTACCCATAGGCTCCATAAAGGTTCCTTTTGGGGTCTATATTTAGGATCTTATAAGGTAATCCCAAAAAAGGAACTACTGTGGAGCCTATGGGTAAACCCCAAAACCCTAAAAGGCAACCCCAAAACCTACAGTGCGCGCTATCCGAGCCAGACATGCCTGCTTCCAGTTGGAGGCTTCCGAGCATATGCAGCTGGAACAGGGGCCTTAATTGAAAACACAGGAAACTCTAATATAGGGACCTTTGTAATTACCAACACGACACTATTTGGGGGGTTCCTTTTACAAGTATAGTAATGGGCACCAAAACCTTATTCTAATTATTAAGATCCCTATATCAACCCTAAACCCCCAAACAGACACCTTGGTTGTGTTGTTTCAAATGAGTGGCGGGGAGCCAACCATGAGTCTTGCAATGAAAACTCAATTCATGAGCCGTCTCAGGACCTAAATGTGAGAACTTTTGGCTTGAATACCATGCTACCTAGAGGCTCCATAGTAGTTCCTTTTTGTGGTTCATATTTAGAATCAGGTAATCCCAAAAATGAACTACCATGGAGCCTATGGGTACTTATGTTTTTTGGGCTTGTGTGGAGCCCGGGGGGGTAGTGTGAGAATCAGAAGGAGAAGAGATCTTGAGATCACGACAAATGCATGTGAAAGCTTTTGGAGTATCAAGGCGTCATGATTCAGGGAACTGCATTTCGGGTCTTGGTTCGTGTTTCGGCATCTTGAAGAAGATACACCTTGTGGGGCTATGGATAGTCGCTGTGTGTCACCGCACTCATCCCGAACCTCCAACTACATAGCCAGAACCGGTGTCCGCGCTCTACAAGCCCCGAGCCCTGCAAGCTTTAAATTCTTCAGCTTTCCTCCAAGAAGCTCTTAACCCCGAAAGCCAGAACACGCTACACCGACAAACGCCGAGGCGATGGCAGACTTTGAAGCTGCCATCTCAAGCCCCTCTCTTGCAATGTTTATTGCGGTAGTTGGAGGGCTGCATAACATGCTTGCCGTCGGGGCGTGTTTCATTCTTGCGGTACTACCAAGTGTTTAGACCTTCATATCTTGGTTTATGCTGCCGGTAAGTTCTGTCCTTGAAGATTTGACGTCTTTTCTCATTAGAGGGGCGAGCCGCCGAAATGGAGTTCTTTTTGTGCAAGGACAGACCTGAGGGTTTTGCTTTCTGGCATCCAGCAGGCTTAGTTTCAAGAGAGACTGCGGAGGGCCTCTGCGAAAAACGGAGGAATTGAGGATGCTCGAACGTAGCAAGAGATGATGTTGCAGTTCCGGCTTCAACATGTTGTACAAGTAGCCAAGATCCCACCTGTGAGTAAGTAGGAACCCCAGTTGATCTCTGAAATCCGAGCCCTGCTCCTTTTTGTAGTTCGTTGTAGTTGGGAGCTTGCTAAAGTACAGGGTGTTTGTCTTGGGGGGGGGTTCAGACTGGTATGACTGGTACTGCCCAGCACCCCGACCCCTTTCAACTCCGTAAGCCAGGCAGGGCTACAAACAACAGCAAAAAACGATGATGAATCGGTGCTTGACCCTAAACACTACGCCCAACTGGACCCTGGACCCTAAACCATAAACGTACAGTGCGTAGACTCTGTCGCGCACCCCCCGTCAGCCATTGGATGCCATTGGCTTCAATCTCTGTAATCTACAGATGCCAAACGGCCCTCAGTCCCAAAACTTCACCCAAAAAACAGAGCCGAACCTCGAACCAATGGCCCTCTAGAAGCATAAGGGGGTTTCCGAAAATAGGGGACCCCAATATAGTGCCCTAAATAGTAGGATCCTTATTATACGGACCCCGAAAATAGGCACCCCTCATTTTCGGCAACTCACAGAAATCGTAGAATCTGAAACGGGCCTTGGCAGCAGCAGCTCCAAAGCAGGTGTGCAGCCGTCGGCCCCTTGTCCTTTCAAGCACGAACAAGCTTGGCTTTGGGGGGGGTTAGGGGTTTAGGGTTCATGGTTTGGGAGAGAGGGAGAGGGGGAAAAGGGTTTGGGGTTGGGAATCGACAGCATCGAATCCGGATTCGCCGAAAACCTCAAGCTCAAAACCCGAAGCCACATGGGTTGAAGGGGGTCCCCCGGTGATTGTCCAAGGTTGCCTTTTACCTTCCCCCAACTAGGGGGTCCCCCGGTGATTGTCCAAGGTTGTCTTTTACCTTCCCCCAACTACTTGCTACCATTTCTTAAATACCCACTATTACGGAGCATAAGGGCTCGATTAAACGGACCGTGGGGGGGTCCTGACAAACCCTAAACCCTCAACCCCCCCAAACAAATTCGAGGTCCAGGCCGTTTCCGAAGCCTTAGAACCCTGACAGGGTCCTGGATTGGCCGAGTGTGAGCGCCGAAAAGGGTCCGTGTGCCCGTACAGTACTTGGTTTAGGGTCATCGATCACCGCTGAGTGTCACGAAGTTCTGTTGCCGTCATTGCAAACTCTGCATCCTGTTCTATTGGAAGAATTCCGCCTTGTACTCACACTTGAAATCGTCAGTCAGCATTGGCATCGTAAGATCATGAAATGTAGCCAGTAGTGCTGCAGCTTGGCGCGATGCTGTTGTTGTCTTTCACCTTTCCCGGCCGACTTCCCAAGCCCGGGTGCAAAAGGGTCATGCAGTGTGACGAGATTCGCAAACATGGCGGCAAAGTCAGCTCCGGAACCAGTCTAAGTCATTGATTTCGTTCCGTGACACAGGAAACACCTTCCAAGGCCAATGGAGATGCTATGTAGTTACATGGTCCTGGGGTTCAGTTTGGTTCCCCGAGGTTCCGAGTACTATGGTATGGAATTGTTCAGAGGGTTTTGGGGAGAATTTGAGTTATAGGCTTGGAGAAACTTTGCTGCTCTCTACCTCAGCCAACCCCAATTGGTTGAATCGTGGTTTGACGAAGTGACATGATTTGCCGGTCAAGGCGTTATGGCTTCGTTTGTTTTGAGTTCTGGGATCTGTCGTGTATTAGAAGGCATGTTCGCAAGCCGAGAAACAGCCGCCGTCTTTCGCAACGCTGCGGGGCTTAGAAGGTGGCTAACGTCTCGAGTTGTACCGTCAACCTCCCTTTAGGGTGTGGCTTGATAGGGGTTCACAAAGCGTAGGTTATTGCGTAGTGCCTTAGACAAGGTACCTTTTAGGTCCTGTTTCTTTGGTGCCGCACTACTTTGTGGACCTGAAAAGGGACCCTAATTCAGAGAAGAGAACTACCCTGTTAGCAACAACCCGTCCATCCAATGAACTCAACGGTACTTCTTACGATCCCGACAAGGACATAAGCATGAGCATTTTATATGGATGTCCCTATGCCTTATTGGACGTCTTTAAAAGTTATTTTTTTTATGGGGTTTCTGAAAATAGGGGGATCCTAATATAGTACCCTAAATAGTAGGATCCTTATTATAAGGAGGCCCAAAATAGGATACCCCGAATGTTCGGATACATTATGGGATATCGAGATATCACTACTTCCGAGGTGTCCCACAGTGACACACGCCGCCTCTCGAGCTCTTTTGGACGTCTTTCCCTGGAAGTCGGGGAACTATTGGGGTTAGGGTTCAGGCTGTAAGGTCAACATCTCAAACGGCATCGCAGCTACATAGGGTGCTGAGTTTGGATTGGTGGGTTCAGAACTCAGGCTTACCTAGAGCCCCCAAACCTATAAAAGGCTACTGTTCTACATGCTCTTGGGGTCCAGGTAGGGCAGGGTTAAGGGATTCAGGGTTCAGGGGTTTTGTTTTTTTTGGGGGGTCTGTGGTTCAGGGTGTTGGGGGTTTCGGATTTAGGGTGCAGGCTTGTGTGACTTTTGGGTTTTGGGCTTGTCATGTCTCGAACACTTGACAAGAGAGATGTGCCATGTGCTGTGGCGTGAACCTCGAGCGCTGAAGCTTTAGATGTACTTTGGTCAAGCTCTGAAAATGAGCATTCAACCCCACGACCTAGACTCCTCAGCCCTGAACCCAACGCCCGAGTACAAACCTGCAACCCTTAAACTCCAAGTGCCACAACACATCGAAATCCCTTTCATCCACCCCCCACAGCCCCTTCTAAGCCACGCCGAAAACACTATGCATCGCAATAGTGCAAGGAAGGAATGCAGGAAGCCAGCCCGACGACCTCTCACATCCCAGGATACTTAGAGTGGCAGAAGGAGTTCGGCTCGCAGTGAACCGACCTTTTTCACCTTGAATTTAGGTTGCACGGTTGCACTAAGCCCAGGTTTGGGGCGTGGGGACCCTGACGAGTTTAGGGTCCCTGAACAAGCCCGCAAACAGCCCCTAAACTCGAAGGCATAAAGACCCGAACAACAACCCCAAATACACCCTGACCCTAAATAAACCCTAGACTGTAGAAACGAACCATACATATATCTTTATACATATGTAAAACACCTTTATACATATATATATATATATATATATATATATATATGAAGTTGCAAACTGAAAAGGAATGCTTCGTTGATTAACTTTTCAAGTTAATAAATGAATAAGCCAGCACAGTGCTAATGGTTTCCGTGTCAGACGAATTATGCATGATATATGGACATACCAATACCTTGCAGTAGGCAATGGAGTAACCTGTGGCTTAGTCAACTGGAGCCCTAGGCAAAGACTTGGTCCACGAGGGAAAGAATGCAGAGCGGTTTCAGATCGGGCTCAGATAGAGTGCATGGGTGGTGAAAAGGCAAGGCAAGGGTTGTTGGGGCAATCTGCGATTTTGCACCGTTTGTTCAGCTGACCTCATTGTGGGTCTCCATGTTGTGATTTCCTGCATCTACATCGCGGCTTTAGACCAAGGCTACATTTCGTTAGTTACCACCGTCAGCAACGGCAACATGCGTATGCTAGCGCGATTGTTTAGCTGAGCTTGAGGGATTGCTTGTGCATTGAGATACATGAACCGCTACTCAATGACAAGTTTTTGTGCCGATAGTGTCCGCACGTGCATACGGTGGGGGTGATGACCGTCGTGGTGAACATGATTCGGGATGACACAAGTGGTGATGTTACTGGTCGTAATGAGGATGGGAGTGGCAGGCACGATGATACAGTAGGTGCGATAGCGATGACGATCGTATCGATGATGTTGTGCATCGATGTCGCGTGTCTGCAACACAAACACATGGGCAGAAAGCATGACTCTCAGCCTGTCTCAGGAGCCGAGAAGAGCAAGGTGCCTCTTTGGTGCTCGGGGTGTGCCAGTTGGGGTAAATTTCGGGCATCGCTGGCGAGGAATCTGATAAACTGCTGTGCAGCTGGGGGCGGAGTGGCTTTGTTTCGGGAGTTGTTGGCGCCTTCTCATGCATCATGGCCCCTCGCTTCGCTTTGGTTGGATGTAGGTTCGACACGAAGCCCGACCCCCCCGAAACCTAAGCTTGTTTGAGTGTATTTATGTGCAGTAGGGGCTTTCGGTTCAGGTTTGGACCCGTTGAAGGTTTCGGTTGTCTGGGCTCTTTTCTTACTGTCTGGAGTTTAGGGTTTGTAAGCCTTACGGCAGAGTGATAGTTGGAAGTGTGTGCTTGTCCTTGCTTCGGCCTGCCTCTCATATGTATGTATGTATATATATATATATATATACATACATACACACGTACATATATATATATATATATATATATATATATGATCCCGGTTCGGCCGGGCCCCCGCCTCCCCCACCCCAATGGTTCCTCCTCCCCCCCCTGTGGTGTGGTGTGGTGGTGGTGTGGTGTGGTTCGGCAGTGGGTCTGCTTAGGCTGGTTCCCCACTCCCCCCTCTGGTGTGGGGTGGTTTGGGTTTCCTGCATGGGTCTGCTTGGCGTGTGAGCCCTCGTGTGGAAAAAGCTTGCACAGTCACACACACACACACACACACACACACACACACAGATTCGGCTTGGGGAGCGTGGGGGGGGGGGGGGGGTCGGTGAACCGAGAACCGGGATCATATATATATATATATATATATATATATATATATATATTGGCCGTGGACTCGGCTTCGCAGCTACAATTTCATGTGGGTATATATATGCGGCACTTTGACAGTACCCTACCAAAAAGGTAAGCCAGCAATAGGTCATACTTCCTCTTCTTGTTTTGGTTCTTGGTAATTTACTCAAGGGGTACTGCGCTTCCAGAGCAAGATGTGCACCATCATCGCAAGTGTTGTCTTAACCCCAAAAGCCTCATGCACCTGTCTTGAGGTCCTGAGGTTCAGGGAGTATTTCACACGTCGGTGTCCGATGTGCATGACCGCGAGAGCATCTTGAAGTAATTTGCCAGTCCAGCCCGCCCCCCCCTCCCCACCCCATGGCGAGAAAGAAGCTGGATGAGAAGGGTCCTGTGCTAAGCACTACTATGGAAGCTTCTGCAGTTTCAGACCGTATATTCTCCCAATGCAGGGCTTTCGAATTGTGTGACAACTCCGTATCCACTCTGAAGCCACCCTCCGTAACAGAGAGGTTGCGGAAGATATGGCTTTAATGGTCTAGGGTTTGCGGTTTAGGGTTTTAGTCAGTGACTCAATTTCAGGGCTTGTGGTCTGGAGGAAAGGCTCTCCACACAACAAGCTTTGTGAGAAGATGTATTCCTTTAGGCTTCAGCATTCGGTCATGACTGGCAAGCCAACCCTGCCTCTCCAATCCCTAAAGCATCTGCTTCCCTGAAAGGCTCAGTCAGGTTGTGGTCATGACCGCTGAGCCCATGAAGCCTAGGTTAGCAAAACGGCTTTCCTAGATCGAACTCTTGCATGGATAGCTCCATCTGCAAGCTTCCCCTGCCAAGACTAACGAAGCCGTTCTTTTTGATCATTCTGCCACCCCAGCAGGTGCACCCCGCAACAATGTTACAAGCTCAAAGCTCTAAGTAAAGGAGCTTGAACACCCCAACAGCACCCAAGATCCCATGCACACAGCCTCACTTCCTTAAAGCAAATATCCTACTATTGAGGGTACTGTTTTAGGGTCCCTCATGTTCGGAAACTCCCATATCCTTGATGTCCAAATACCATGTCTTGGGATATCTCATCTTCGCCAGTGCCGGCTTTCTGGGCGGCCCCTTGGGGCAGAGCACATCACAGATCTCGGGGTGATATTGGGGTTTCCGCAAATTTGGGGTACCGTATTTTTGGGGGGGGGGGTCCGTAAAATAAGGATCCTACTATTCAGGGTACTACATTAGGGTCCCCTCTTTTAAGGATTGCTGCAGTAGTACGGAGCATCCAGTGTTCTTCTGCACATACGGTTGATGTGAAAAACAAGCATTCAGGTTTACGGGCATATGTACATACATACCATATTTACGTACATATACACGCGTCTGTCTGTCTGTCTGTCTGTCTGTCTGGAGGGATGGATGGATGTACGTGCGTGTAAGCCATAGACTTGCAACATGCACGAACAACAGCGTTTGAGTTCCTTTCCGTAGCAACACCTATTGTTGTTAGCAAGTTCTTTAGGAAGGGCTCGAGTCCCTGACTTTAGGAAGGCCAGAGTGGACAGTTTCCATCGGGACTCGATGCAACTCAGGCTTGTGTGTACATCCAAAAAGTAATCAAATATCGATATATATATATATATATATATCGCCAATCAAGCTGATTCTGCAATCGCAACATGATTGTACGAGCAGGTCAGTACTGTGGCATCTTCCACGGATACACAGAAAGCCGCAAACCACATAGCTATGTGTACAAGGCCGCAAATCCCTCAAATGATTTTGAAAAGCCCTTGAGGGGTTTCCCCTGGTACGCCAAGCCTTACGAGGCTACTTGCTGCAGCCGTCCGTGGGCACCACTCCGGCGCCGTTGCCTCCTTTGCCGGCGCCACCCGCGCCGCCTCCGCTGCCTGCATCGACGGCACCACCTGACTCCTCCGGAGCGTGGTTCGTGGGGGGACAGCCCGTCGACCTTCTCGGTTTTGATCTTGAGGGACTGGAGTTGCAATCTTAGGCCGATGTCCGTGAGCCTAAGAGACGGCAGCAAAGCAAACCTGAAACTTTCAAACGGTATATGCAACCTCAGCGCCCCAGCTGGGATAGTCACGTGTGCCACTGAGGAGATTGCTGCGATGACACTGGCAGTAACTGATGCCGATGATGATAGATTCCGGTCCTGGATCCGTTAATTAATTAACCAGTATCGCCAAAGCCCTCTGCCATGGGCTCCATACTTTGGAACATCTGGAATACACAGGCGTATGGGACTGTAGCCCTCGACGAAAAAATTACAAATTGTTTCGGAAGACCCGCAAACGTGCCGAGCTGGCACCGCAGGAGACCTTCGTTGTCGACCGCTGGAGCACGTGTCTCTTGTCGCGAAAGGTTATGGGAAGTTATAGGGTTTATAGGCTTCAGGATTCTGTACGGTCTAGCAGTTGGGAGATGTGGGGCCGACTGCCTAGTACGGAATTTTAGGGCTTTTCGGCGCCTTGTAAGCGATTTCAATCAAAGAACAGCTGAAGCTCTACAAGCAGGCTCTAAACCCTGAACCCGGTACCCGAAGTAGCGTAGCCCAGGCCCTGCAATCACTCAACCCAAAGCCCTCTCAGGTTTGTCATCAATCTCGCGGGCCCTTTGGGCGAAGCGCGGCGCCTGCACGCGATCCGGGAGCTTGCAAAGGCACACGGAGGGGTGGTGGGAGTAGGGGTCTAACCCTTCCTCCATGCATTCGGTACCTATCCCGACGTCCTCAACATCCTAAACCCTTACGAACCATTTGGCACAAGGATACTCTTTAAATCCCCTAGCAGACCCTCAAACTAAAACCCTTTAAACAACCCCACTATTCAGGCGCCCCTGAACCCTGAACCACTAAACCCGAAAAGCCCTAAACCCTTTAAATCCCCCAAAAGCTTCATCCCTAAACTCAAAGGCCACACGCCCAGCCGAAACCGCTTTCTGGACACCATCGGCGAACAGAAAAGGAGCGTTCAAACACCCCTTTGGTACCTGCAGGTCGGGCTCCACGGTCGCTACCAATTCTGGCCCGCTGTGTCGGCCTACGACGATGCCTCGCTGGCCAAGGCCTGAGCATATATATATATATATACACATACATACATACATATATATATATATATAGAAGTATCCAGAATTGTTCGTGTATCTGTATTTGATTATTGGTAGGTATACATATACACAGTCTTGTTTATGGTAGCTGCAATATTTTCGTGTGGGGAGGGGTTTGGGTTGTGTGGTTCGCGGCTTGATGGGTCTTGTTACAAAGTCTGTATCCGAGGTCGTATGGTTTTATTCCAACGGTCCCTCGTTGATGGCAGTGGCAACTTGTCCTTGGCTCGTAGGAAGCCGAAAGGCTGTAACAACTCTGTGCCTGCGGCAAAGCCAGAGGGTCTCATCCTCAGTCCTGCAGCTTGTGAGTCTTAAAGTGAACCCCAGAAAGTTGGAACATGGATTTAGGATGATTGGTGCTGTAATTCCCTCTACTCTACCTTAAATGAGGTTAGTGATGTTCCAACTTTCTGGCTTCTCCTGTAATTGAATCCCAAGCCATACAGATTCTCAGTCCGAAATTCCTAAAACCGTAAAATCCTCGAACATTTTGCACCCCGAAGTCTCGACACAAGGGCAATCAAACCCCGAAGATCCCAAGAGAGCGCTCGCTCTTCAACTTGATACGGTTTGAGGTTTCAGCGGCCCTTGAGAAAGCAACAACTCCTGGTCTATGAAGTACCTATAGGCTCGTTCTTTTTCGTGGTGTATATTTAGGATCCTAAACGGTAATCCGAAAAAGGAACTGCAACGGAGCCTGTGGGCAGGAGCTGGGGAAGAAGCACTGCCCCTGTGATCCTCAGTCGGCGCTGGCGCTTAGCCACAGGTCCTTGGGATCGGGACCGTAAAGCTTGTTTTTGCATAGTTTAGTTTATAGGTTGTAGCCCTATCACTCGCAGAACCTAGTGTTCTGTAGGGGTTAGAGCCGCGGATAGAGCTGGATGAGTTTATGTTGTAGGCGTCTGCGTGCTTACAGTATGGAGGCGTTTTGTGAGATTGCAAGCCATGTACAGTGGGAGTTTCCGAAAATTAGGGGTACCTTATCTTGGGGTTCTTACAATAAGGATCCTACTACTATATTAGGGTCCCCTATTTTCGGAAACTCCCATGTAGGTCATCTCGGTTAAAAAGTTCAGGGCAAGGCTCCTTCAATAAGGAGGCAGGTTAGAGTTTAGGTTGTCGGGGTTTAGGGTGACCAAGGAAAGGAATGCAAGCCGAGGATTTCGGTAGGCTGTCGGGTTTGCAGAGTGGTTGAAGATAGGACTTACTGATGCTTATTGCGCGGGCTTTTTGCACGGGCCGAGCGGTCCTCGAAAACATAAATACTTTGCAGTTCAGGCCGCAAGTCTGATAGCCTACAACTTATCACATCTGGGCTTACATATATATATATATATACATATATATACATATATATATATATATATATATATATATATATATTCAACATTCAGGTAAGCAGGAAACAGCACTAATAGTGACATCGTAGCCATGACTTTGCTAAAGCAGTGCGACTGAGGCGCATCTACGAGGCCATCATTGCGGAAAGGCCGATGGGACAAGCCACGATAAATCTTCGGGCTGACAAAAACATCCGCTGAGCACGAAACACAGAGTCACAGCATCGGCTGCTTTTTCCGCTTTGCGACTGCATCTGGCTCAGCCTTGCACATCTTCTCAGCGATCGAATTTGCAGTTCATCGAGATGAAAGTTGCTTCTTCAGCAGCAGCCAAGAGCCAATGCGAGCCAAAGAGAAGCTAGTTTGCTCGATGTGCCTGCGTTTGCTCGATGTGCCTGCAGCTATCATGGTCGTGAGCGTCGCCGTTTTCATATGTTTTCATGATGACCACCATGTGGCCCCAAACCACTACGCAAACACTGACACCTGCAGGTACATGTACGTATACACATGCACATGCGCGTGCAAATGCACATGCACGTGCACATGCACATATGCATACACGTACCCATGCAAATTCCCTTGCAAACGCGCACACATCTGCGCATTGATACATGCACCCGCGAAGCCTGCGCACATGCACCCCAAAGACAAAGCCCCAGTTTACAAGTCAACACCTGCACAGCCATGAAGTCCGTGCAAACTCCAGCGTCCTGTCGCCCTCAACCCGGTCCCCTCCCCCTGACATAACGCTAATCGTACGAATGCTAGGTCAGCAGGCAGAACGACTCAGTCACTCAACGACTTTTTCGAGCATGTAAAGGAGCCCAGTCACGATCCCGAAAACCGGCACTGCAAGTGACGCCAGGTGGCCATGCGCTACGATCTTCGAGGATGACGTGCGGCTAGTCACAGACAGAGAGTATGCACGTTTTTTGCATCGGTTTGCTACGGCATTAGGAGTTTGTAGTAGGTTTGGTTCACAGGGTTTTCACGTGCTTATCGGAATTGAGGATGAGGGGCGCCTCCCAGCAATGACGCCAAACCCTAAATCCGTGCAGGAGGTTTGAGAGTACCTTCAGCGAATGAGAGTATCTTCATGGTAGACCAAAGTGCTCTGCCGTTTCGGCTGTGTTTGGATAAGGGAGTTTCAGGATCTGCGATTTTCGCGGCTTTAGGGGTGGGTTAGAGTTAGAGTCCGGTTGGAGCTTTCCCTCGGCTGTGAAGGCCAGTATCGGGGGCCTCGAAAGGTAGGATGAAGGTAGGTGGGATATTCCCAAACAAGAGTCCTTATATAAGGGATCCTTAATCCCACCTACCTTCATCCCACCTTGTGAGGCCTCCGACAGTCCGACAGCAGGTGGGGACAAGCATGAAGATTTCAGACCTGTAAGGTTGAAGGTTCAGGGTGCATCCTCTAACCTTACTCTTGTTTAGCTGGGTTGTCCTTTGGGGTCTTTTTAAATTTCCCCTAGTATTTTGTAGAGAATCATAATAGTGAATAGCTTTCACAGGGCTTAAAGGACAACTCAGTTAGCAAACCTTCTTCTACGCCAGGGATGCGTGCTCACTCAGAGTTTCAATCCTCAATACCCCCGAAACCCTAAAGCCTTTCTTGCCTGAGCCACAAAGTTTCAAGTCCGACCTTAGGGGTCGGAACAACAAGCTAGCAGACAAGCAGTAGTTTGTCGTTTTCTATAGTCTTCACATAAGTTTTTACAGTACAACATACCCCCTGAACCGTATTCCTTTTCAGGCCTCGAGGCCTCGATCTTTGTTCTCCAAAGCTCTCGAGGTCTCTTGCGCGTAACTTCAGCCGACGACTGGAGGCCTCCAGATGGCAGGGGATTTCGGAGTCATGCCTTTGGGCCCGTTCAGGTTCAGAGTTTCGTGGTCTCTGCGCTTCGGGCTTCGAGTTTGCTGGGCTAAAAAGAGATTACGGTTTAGGGTTTAGGGTTTAGGGTTAAGGTTTTAGGGTTTAGGGTTTAGGGTTTAGGGTTTAGGGAGGTGATGGTAGGGACTGTGGGGTTATCGCAGGTGTTTGGGTGTTTCGAGCTTCAGGGGCCCGAAGCGCTCAACAGCGAGCAGGTCGAACGCCCCCAGCACCCAAGGCGGTGCGTAGCCTGGCATTTGTGCCATTCCCTCGCATCCTTCTCCGGCTTGGCACAGGGCGCTGCGTAGAAGCAGGGCAGCGGCCAGGCGCGCGATCAAGAGAAGGCGGCTTCCGTCAGAAGCCCAAATCCGGAATTTAGTGGCACACCACGCCACTCACCGGCTCCAGAAAGCTTGGCTGTGCCACATGGGCCGCGGCAACAAGCCACAATGGCGCGAGGACGAGCAGGACAAGGGATTCAGTTTGTGGCGTGGATCAGCCTATGTCTCGCCAAAGAACTGGCCGAAGCAGCCGTGGCAGAATCCACGACCGACTCCTACGTTTCCCTCGTTCGACATGGTCCCGGCGGCTTCCGGGTCCAAGGGCTCCCAGAAGGGCACCCAGAAGGGCGAGGAGACAGCGGCTATGACCCAAGGAGTCTTTGGTGGTCTCCAGGAGGCGCTGAACTTCTTCCGCAAGACGGAACAGCGTGTGGAAAGAGTCATCAAGAACCAGGAGCACACAAAGACCCTGTGGGAAGACTATCAAAAGGCTATGAAAGCCGCGTTGACAAAGGAGAAAGGGCGGTTTCTCACAAGGATTCGCGAAGGAGCAACGAGAGGCAGAGCTGCAGTTGGAGGTGGCTCGCTCCAAAGTTCGTGCATACCACATGGGCGAGGAGCCGGAATCGCACCCAGTGGCTATGGAAGCGGACGAGGAGGTCGACAGTCTGTTTGCCAACTGGATGGAGGAGCGAACAGAGGGATTTGGTACGGACTACCAGGGCCTTTTGTCCAGGGCTCTTGGAACAGAGGTTACAGAGAAGACGACCCCAGCTCGATCTGCACGCACGATTCCTCGGTCGCCTCCTCAGGCGGCAGGAGGGCAGACATATGTGACCCCAGTCCCCAATGCCGTGACCGATCCATATGCGACTGCTTCACCGGCCCCAATGGGAATGCCGAATCCGACGGGTCCAGGTGTGTCGGCCCACCCGCCAGGGCTAGAAAGGACTTCTCCACTGCACCCTGGACAGCGGGACCGCACACGATCGGAGTCGAGGAAGGGCATCAAAGAGGCCACGAAGAACCCACCGGCGCCAGCGGTTGTACATGGAAGCCTGGAGCAGAAATTGCAGTCCAGACGGGCGATGACGCCCTTTGGCCTGGGAGCTGGACCCACGATACCGGAGGGTTCCACGACCAATGCGGGCCAGGCGACCAACTTCGTCGACGACGACCAGGGGAGCGACTCCGATTCGGCACACGAACTCTCGCCGGAGGAGATTGCAGCCATGAGAGCGGCAACTACGCGAACGATGGAGTAGCTGGCTGTTTTGAAAACAGCCGAAGCGGTGTCAGCCCCAAGCAGCGGAGTCGGCTACGCACTGGCATATGCCGCCTGGAGAGACCGGTACATCGGAGCTTGTATGGGTCAAGCTTCCTTTGTCGAGTTCTCCTCGGGCAAGGCTCTGCCACTGCAGTTCCCGATTTGGGCTTCTTCGGGACTGACAGAGGTAGTAGTGCAGTGAGTGGGCTGTACATAGAAGTTCTCACTCCTTTGCCCCGTGTTCCTAGGTGCCTCTCTGTCGGAAAGAGCAGTCGTGCCCCTACCACTCCTCATGTGGCATTTTCTTTCCTTGCGGAGAGCTCCAGGACAGAGTGTTGCTGGGTTTGCAACACTGCTTCCTGGGGTTCTTCAGTCTCCTCTGCCAAGATTGGGATGCCTTGTCTTTTGGTGCCCCATTTCGAGGCCTCGCCGCCCTGCCCCGGGGGCCAATGCGCCTTCTCATTTGGCTGCTACCCCCACGCCGAGCCAGACTGCAGCCAGTCGCTGTCAAGCCCGACCTGGCCTCCCAATAGGATCCCTAATGGTTTAGGACACTGGGGTCTTGTTTTCCCTTTCGGCAAGTTTTGGGTCTCAAACACTGGCCTTGCCTCATTTTCCGGATCCTCCATTCCCGTCCCTCTTCAGGTGCCAAAAAGTCATATCGGTGGCTCTGGGATGACTACCTCGAGAAATGTGGATGGAGGGACCGCCCCGGACACCGGGACATACCATGCTCTGTTATTTTGGCTTCACTGCCACGCCACTGCCGTTTGCCATGCGGCTGCAGGAATCTTGCTGTGCACTCTCAGCATGACACTTGTTCGAGCACTTAGCTCGCGAGCCAGTCGGCGCTGGAACACGTCCCATGTTCATGCCGCTACTCCCCCATTCGGCCTTTTGCTTTGCCTCGGTGCTATTGGCTGTGTGCAGCAGTCTTATCACGATAAGCACTCAGGCATCCGTCGTCGTGTGGGACGTGCCTCACAATCCAGCCGCCTGGGACTCGGCCGTTTTGTTTGGCCTCTCTTCCTCTTGGGCCTACCAGACTGCATATGGAGTGCACCTAAGGGCCTGCCTGATCCCATTGCGGAACTCCAAGCAGCACCAGCAGACAATGCTGGCCGTACATATCCCGAGCCTCCGGATCCCTTTGATGACGGTGCTGGATTTCCACAAGCCCACACCCCGGACATCATCCATCCTGCCATCATACCACCACGAGGCCCTCCTCCTCCCCTTCCTGTCCGCCTTGAACTACAGCCGATTCCTAGGCAGACGGTGCCAGTCCACACAAAGGACATCCTTTGCACAACCATCGTGCTCTCACCTGGCCATTTGCAGCACGTGTTGCGCTTTCCGCTTGGCATGCCCTGTGACATTGAGGACTTTTTAGATGCTGCCGAAAGAGAGACCAGCAATCTAGGGCTAAAATTTTGTGACAGGGTTCAGCCAGTCAGGCCACAGCCGATACCAGGATGTGCTACCGTCCTTGCCATCCCTTCTTGGACGGCCTTTTCAGCACTCTCGGCCATCTGTCTAGATCTGCGTGACATGGGTCCCTCAGGGTCAGGACCCATAGTCGCGGCCTATGTCACAAGGCCCACATGCAAGGCCGAACTGTGCCGGCAGGCAGGAACATTCGGCTTCCGACCCTGTTCAGTGTACGTCGGAACTGAGAGTGCACCTCTTGAGCATGAAGAGGCCATATCGCTGGCTAACGGTTGTGTAGTGTCCTTTCGGCCAGATGACACCCTCCCCAATTTCGCTACGGATATTCAATATCGATTGCATTTTGAGGACATGTGGCCAGCACATCCACAACTTCCGCCTCCACCGCCTCTACGATCCCTCATGCTGCTGCATCAGCGTGGCAGGCACTTGTTCCGTCCCCAGGCTGGAAGCATTCCCCTGGATGAGATGGCAGCCAGGTTTATTGGTGTTGACAGGGAGCTAGTCGACATTCATACACCCCACGAAGGATGTGATAGGTTGATCCACCAAGGTGTTGGAGTTCGAGGCGTGCTCGCCTTTGTCGATCAAAATATCCTCCCTCCAGACGTGCCGCAATACGTCATCTTCCTTGACTTGCGCCAAGTTGCTTCAGGGATCAAGTACCTAGTCCTTGATCGCCCTTACATTCCGAAGGCAGATCTACCAGGGCTCGTCGGACGACGTCCTCCGCCGAGTTGGTTCCTTCGCGTAATTGGTGGGCGCATGCGCCGGGACCGACTTGACATCCGGCAAGGCACAACACTCACCTTTGGGTTTGAGTTTGACGATGACCCTGAACAGCCCCCTGATGCCTTCTCCCCCACCACTGATGAGGAACACAGTGAGAGTGAAGGCTCAGAAGACCCAGATACCACAACAGCCCCAGCCGATTCTGATGGAGAGCACCTGTTTGACGATGACCCGAGGTTCCTCCGCTCAGCGACGCGGTCGCGCAGTCGCTCCAGGACGCGAGGTCCCAACCAACACCAGTCCGGGGCCGCATCGTCCACTGCTTCACCACCTGCCGCCCTAGCCATCGCAGCGTGTTTGCCTGCCCTTGCACAACAGACAGCTGCGTCCCCAATCCTCCCGGCAAGTCTCCCCCCACTCTCCGGAGTCGGCCCTAGTCATGCATTTGGGAGACCAAGCCTCCAGGTGTCCAATGCCAGGCTTGTATTAGGACTTGGGGTTTTCGGACTGCTCTTGACCCTGATAGTAGCGAGCTCCCTTAAGACCCTAATCCTCGCCGGGAATAGGAGAAACCCCCGCACCTGTAAGCAACTTGTGCCTCTGCCATGTCGTAATCATGCAGACCATGTACGTGTCTCGGCTCTGCGCCGGGTCACTAGAGATTTTGGGGATACATGGCCACTGCCAGATGGCGACGAGGTCTCCGATCCGGAAGACACTCCCTCAGTTTCAGGGGCCTCCGATGCCGATTCGGTCGCCTGGGCCACCGTCTTGATCTACACTCCGGCGTATAGCCCAGAGTGGCTCACCATCGCCTTCCCCTTCCCGTCGACCGTACCAGAGGGTACTCAGCTAATCAAGGCAGAAAGGGAGCCAGGACAGGACAGGCGTTTTCCCGCCCTGACACAGGCCATGCCACAGACTCTTGCCGGGGCTGGGGTCTTCATCTCCGGCCCTCCCTGGGAGGAAGAAAGGCCGACTCTTTTTGTTGATGCTACCAGGTGGGACGGACGGCACTATGCGATCCAGACCCCACACTACCTCAACCGGGCAGCCGCACTTGTTCTGCTAGATATTCGGGATACAGCAGACGTTGAGATCTTTCTGGGACCTTCTGCTGATGTTCCCCTTGGAGCGGAAGACATGCATGTCTGCCATGGTTGCACCATTCTTGTCAAGGCATCGCAAGCGAGATTTCCCTCTCTCAGAGACATTAGCATCATGTTT